ATTCAAAAGGTCAAATACATGAATGGGTCATATGACATTGATCTCGGAATACTTTTATGACAAACGTGATAACAGTTCAATCTTGACTAAATTGAAGATGGTTTAAAAGTTAACAATTATAAGAACTTTTCACTAACATATGCTGCTGACAAAGGAGAAAATATATGCAATTCTGCATTTTTTGCTTTCTATCAAGCAATCATATGTTGGCTCCTTATCACACTATGACACTTCTGTTTTGTCACATTCCAAAAAATAACTTGAGAAATACACTGTCACTCATCTTACACTGTTATATTTACTTATTACAGAAGGCTGGAAACAAAGATTTTGTTTTCAAGAAAATAAGATTTCTTGTCCAAGACACAAGGAAGTTTGACTGCAAAGCACATATAAAAATGCGAGAAATTTTTTTTTTCAGAGAACTAGGTAGTTCTACTCATGTATAAACAGAACAAATCCAATTTAATAAATCAGATATGCGGCATGACTCCTTTTCTTCCATCCCCACTCAAAACAAGCAAACACACCTATAGAGGTTCCAGTCTGGTCTGCAAATGAAAAGGAGGAAGGTGATCACTGCAAAATTAAGCATTAGGGTTCTTATTTATAACATATTGATTATTGTATACTGATATCTAGAAATTAAGGTTGCAAGTAGCAGCCAGCTGAGTTATAGTTTGAGTTTTATCAAGTCCATTACTTTGTTAAATTTAGAGTAACCTTGTCTTGAGAGAGGAAAATTGAGGAGCTGTAATATACTAATCATCAATTAGGGACCACAAAGAAAAATTTATTTATAGAGACTTTTGAAGGAGAGGGGTAAGACTTGTGACAAGCTGGCAGACATATAGATAACTTTACTGCTAAATGGGTTACAATACAAAGTGCTCAGTATTTGGATCAGCTATGGCTCAACTTAAACTTTGCTTTAGCTTCAAGTTTAATCCTTTGTGGTTTCCTTTCTCTGTGTTTATTTTTCAAGTTATGTACACAGAAGAACACAAAAATGACAAGGAATGCTTTTGAATATCAAGAGGCTGGAATAAGCAAGAAACCAAAACTGAATTTTAAACAGTACAAAGTTAATTTGATCTTCCAATGTTATTTAATTTTAACCATAGAATTTGCTATTTAAATTTATCCCCTCCATTTTTCTAGGTATTGTGAGCAAAAACAAACAATTATCACAAAATGCATGGTATACAATGGTTTGATTCACCAATGTGGCAAAGGCCTTTCACTGTCTATCCATAAAAAGGGAAATAGTTTGTAAACTTTAAGACATTCTGCATGTTGAGTGTATACTTATTCATCCATGTGGAATTAAAGGTTACTTGAAATAAATGTGAAAGATTTATAGGATTTTCAGACCCCTGATAACAATTACTAATGTGCTGATTTGTTGTACTTAAAGGTTATGATTTTAGCGGAAATAGTGGAAGAAATTTCTGGACCTGGAATTTTGTTGCAAATGTTTGTTTAAATCAGTTTAAGTCAGTTAAAAACTCTCCTGTTTCAAGATTACATGATTACCACACCAGAACCTTTTGTATTCTATATTATGCACCATGTTATGATTATGGTTTCAATAATAAAAGGTGCTGACTCAAGAACTTTCCAAAATATCTCTACATACAAAGAAATAGATTGTGGTTATGTACTCCGAATAGCAGGTCACATCAGTCTTCTGTAAGGAAGTAGCAGAAATTTCTGTGGTGGTTTTGGTGGATGGAGAGAAACATCCACCAAAACCACTTTATCCTATGTGTTAAGAGTTATGATAATCATTATGAACGTTTGGTCGGTCAGCAATTGTGCACCATTAAAAATAATTAGCCAGAGCACTAACTGCTAATTAGTGGTATAAATCTTTTGTCTCCCTGAACATCTAACAATGGCTATAGATAAAATTTAAAAAATATATTGTTGATGGTTTTGGTCAAAGTTTTGGTGGATGTTCCCTAATGACATCCACCAAAACTACCTAACATCTAAGCACCTTTTAAATACGTGAAATATCTGCATAAAATTGCGTAAAATGTTTTATAATACTACAATCGAACAATAAATTAATACTTACCATTTCTTTAGTAAAAAGTTTTGACGCAATTTTCCAAACAAATAATACATTTGGGTCATCGGGATAAGTCGGCATGTTGTCGTAGCTTCGTAATTTTTTTCCATCATTCCATCTCAGTCCCTCTCGACCAAGGTGGTTTTGGTGGATGGAATCTAATGCTGACCAACTTTACTCTGACTTCTCCGACCGGTTCTCTGCTTCTAGAAGATGGATAGCTTGGTGATATAAATAAAGATGTGAGCTCACTCTATGTAGAAATAATCGAAAAGAATCGATCGTATTACAAATGCACGATTTGTGGCCGAAAGTTGTCGAGGAAACAAAGACTCGAAACTCACTTGAGTTGTGTTAATGGCAAAGGTGAGAAATAACACAAGCCAATCACAGTTTTGAATGCGACTACAAATCGTCTTTTACCCTCATATTTATAAAAGAAGGATACCACATTCGGAAGTATAAGAGATACATAGATGATCCCAGTGTACCAGTACCTAAATCTACAAAGCTTGACCGTAGCAAGCGTTCAGCAACACGTTCCAACACCGCCATCTCGATTCCTCAGTCAGTCGTTTCCACTGAACTTAAAGCAGTATTGACAACAGAGTAGAGTGCGTCTTACAAAGGAGAAACATTTGTACAAGAGACAGGAGTAGCTATATGCGATTACAGAGGTGCGTTGGAACTCTGGTCCACAAATAGCACTGCCCGAAGTATAAAACAATCTTGTTGATAGCTGACAGACAGAGAAGAACAACAAGTAAACTTAAGAGCTGTTATTATTGAAGTGTGACTAGCACTTTTCATTTTTATATAAAGAAGGACTTGTAATTTGCACCAAAAATAAAAAGATGTAATATTTTTTTGGGAGATCCAGTGATTGGGACATTTAAGAAATTAAGTTATGAAAGGAAACTTGGTTGGTACTTCTCACTACTAACAAGTCTTGTTGACAAATATTTTCAGATCAGAGTTTCAAATAAAGTAAATTGAAGACGTCATATAAAAGGTGTTTTTCCTCTAAGGGAACATTGACTACCTCTGTCTTGTCTGCATGCCAAATGTTTGCAAAGTGTGTGGATGATCCACAAGTATTGGAACTCTTACAAAAATGTTTTGTAAGAATAAAAACAGCAAAACAAATTACAGCAATTAGTCATGAAAATAGAGCAAAAAACTGAAAAAAAGGCACCAACAACAATCATGAAAAAATAAAGATTAATTAGGTGTTGAATTTGTTTGTCTAAGGCATGGAATTTCTACTAAAAGTATTGTCAACAAAAAGTCTCTGACAGCGTTTGAGGCAACTGAGCTTGACTGTTCCAAGGTTTCTAACAAAGGCAACCAGTAATGTAGGTTAGGGAAGTAAGATAACAATGTAATTATTGTTAATTATTGTGGAAGTTGGCAATTTCCATTTAACATAACTGACAGCTGGTTCATGAGAAAATCCATATTAATGTAAAGATTTACTAAAACTTAGCTTGAGTAATAAATTTCATGATCTTTAAGTTATAAACATGTACATGTATGTATATCTCTTGGTAAGTTTTGTATAGCATACCTTTTATTGAGCCAAAGTTTTAAGCCTCTGAAATTACTCTTTTTCTTAAAACCTTCACATTCAAGGTATTGAGAATTTCTTAGAATTTATGTGGACCTCAGGGTATTAAAATTGCCTCAAATTCAATTCCCAGAAATTCCCAAGAGTTCCACACTTCTTAAATTATAGGTAGTTTGTAAAGCTGAGAATTCCTAGGAATTCCTAGGGATTCCAAGTCCTCACAAAACTGGAGTCTTCCTTTCCCAGAAATTCCCAGTTATTCCAAGCTTTTTAAATCAGAGTTAATTTGCATAGTTGGGAATTTTTGAGAATTCCTAGGAATTCCTAGGAATTCCCAGAAATTCCCAGAAAACTGGGAATTCAGTTTGCAAGGGTCATTTGCATAATTGGGAATTTTTGAGAATTCCTAGGAATTCCTAGGAATTCCCAGAAAACTGGGAATTCAGTTCGCAAGGGATTACTCCAGTCCATGCCCCCAGTCAAGGCCCCCAGTCAAGGCCCCCAGTCAAGAAGGTAATTACTGCTGTTTCATGAGTATGCTCTATTGCAATAAGCTCAGCCATGAATGCCGTTAGCCTTTTGTAACCCAGGTGGACTATTATACCAATCTGTACTTTCTTAGGATAGTTAACTTTTTGTCTTACTGCAGTCTTTGAGCCTGGAGGAGGAACTCCAATTCCAGCTCAGAAATATGAGGCCTCCCTAGGAATTGATGCCCCCAGTCAAGAAGGTAATTACTTTTGTTTAATGAGTATGTTCTATAGCAAGTAGTTCAGTCTAGGGCTGTGGTTAGCCTTTTGTATATTCTAGTTGGATTATATTCTCTCAATCTGTAGTGTTTAAACCCTTTAACTTAAATATCTGAATGTTAATTCTCCCCACTAGCTGCTACACGTTTCCTTGTAAATTAGTTATGAGTATTTGGTTAGATCAAGGTAAAAAGTTCTACCAGATAAGTGTGAGTATTCTCACTACCTGTTTGCCACATAATGTGTGAATATTACAGGGAGAAGTAACATGTTAAATAGGATTAAGCTGAAGAAACAGTAATTTACAATTATTATGCATTTGTAGACTCAGCATAAACCTTGCCATGAGTGAACATTAGTTGATGTTCTATCCTGGGGAGTAATCAAGGAATTTTCTGTGAATGTGTACTTATCAACTAAACATAAAAATAAACATTCAAATTGTCAACCATTTGACCTCTTCATAGTGCCTGTTCAGGAGAGCTCTGATCCCCCTGTTGATCAACCTCCCCAGTCCCCATCATCACCTAAGCCCAGTGGAAAGAAGATCGTAAGTAGAAAGTTCAATGGAACTTGTATTTGGTATAAAAGAACCTTTGATTTATTTAATGTTCATATATTCATTCATTTATTGATTTTATTTTCACCTTCATTTGCCAAAGGATGATGTAAGAGTGTCCTTTGGTTAGTGGTGGCCATTGATTTTCCTTTGGATAACCTAAATTATCAGTGGGTGCATCAACAGTCACCCAAGGCTAATGAGAGAATACAGAATGAATAATGTAGACAGTTAACCTGTTTAGCATCAATCAAGACAGTGGTTAAGAAGTTCAATCAACATGGACTGATCATTGATTAATGATTGAATGATTTTATTCTTGATTAGAAATCCTGCTGGTTCAAATGGCCACGAAAGTCTTCAGCAGTTAGGCCAACAACAGAGGACATTGACAAAGGTAAATTGTAATGTAGCTATCTTTGTGGTGAAAAATTTAAGGCAATAACATTCTATCATGCTCACGGTTTTACTGACAGTAAGCTCTCGTATCGGATGAGTATTTTCCTATGAATGATAGATAAAATACCTAAAGGTGAAAGGTTTTTTTTATGTTAACCATTTCGTATTTCATGAGATTTCAACTGCAAGGTCTGTGAAAAGTTGTGTGATTGTCTGGGTTGAGATAATTAATGTATAATTAATTTAATGATTTCTTCTGATTAATTAACTACAGTTGAATTAAAAAGGAAATGTTACTATTAAACAAAAATTTTTCAAACCCTGCGGACTCACAGGTTGGAGTACATCGCATTGCTTTTGAACAATCGCATCTTACCTGTGATGAATATAACATATTCTTCACAAGTAAGATGGGATTGTCAGCTCTTTCTTCACAAAAAGTGGTGAGTGATTGAAATCACAAGAGCTTGAGTTTTTGGTTCATGTATTTTAAGAATGTAGGTCTTAAAAGTGGTATGATAATCTTTTCTGAAAGGAGTTTTAAATATTTCTTTATTCAGATCACTGTGATGAATCAGGCAATGATGTTTTCCTTTTGAACACTGGGAAGGTACCTTTGGTATCAAAACTGTTCTGGAGGTCAAATTCAAAGATGCTTACTGACAATCTCTGCTTGTAAGTGAGAGTATTTCTTTAATTCTATGTTAATGACTAAACTATGTTAATGACTATGTTATCCAAAAGAAAACTTTTTAAGGTGTTAATTAGATGCACACTATGCTCAGGGTATTTGGGATCCAATTAAAAGTGCAGTGTAGGTACTCACATGATGGTTATATACTATTCAACTATTCCCTATCGTGCAAAATGCAGTGAAATTGAAGTAAATTTTTTGTTTCCTGTAATCCAAGATTTTATATCTTGTATTACCAATCATTATAATTATAATGTGGGTTAATCATCTTTGTTTGATCTCCAAATTCATAAATGTAGAAGAGTACATCTGACAAATTCACAGTTGTTATCCATGGAGAGGATGATGCTGCAAAGCTTTATTCATTATAACTATAATGGGGGTTAATCATCTTTGTTTGATCTCTGAATTCAGAAATGTAGAAGAGTACATCAACAAAAATCTTGTCACTGACAAATTCACAGTCATTATCCATGGAGAGGATGGTGGTGCAAAGCTTTGTTCGATTCATTTGGCGAAGAAATTATATAAACTATTGAAAAATAGATAAGAGAAGTTTGTACTGATGGAAACATATACCTACTTCAAATATTAGCAACCAAATCAACAAAGTCAGAAGTCAGATGATAAATTTTGTGAATTATACTGGTACTGGTAAAAAGCACCTGATGATGCTGATAACTTTGTACATCAGTGGATGTATTACAGTTATTTTGCTAAAAGAGTACAGAATATGGTTTTATCTGACAGATTTTAATAATAATATAAATTAAACTGTAACGTTTCTTTCATTGCTTTTTTTCAGGTTCTTTGATTGAATTTTTGCATCATTTTAAAGGCCAAATTCACCCTGAAAGCTGTTTTTAAGCTTGGCAAACCATTCATCCCGTGAGTATAAGAAACAAATGGTTTATTTTATGACTGAAAAATATGATAGTGCTTGATTTTTGATATTCTTGTAAAATTAAAACCAAGTGGATTTAATAAAAGTGATTTTACTGCACTTGGTTTGAGTTCATAAAACTAAAGCCATTGACATTAAAAAAAATGCAATCAGAAAAAAAGCATAGACTGTTAGAAAGAGATTATCTGGTTCATTAACTGAGTTGATAATGTAAATTGACCACTGTAGAAATTCTAAAGCTGATGTTTCAAGTGTTAGTCCTTCGTAAGAGCAAAAGGAGTCTATTTTTTTTCAGTATTAGACAATGGAAGTTTGTGTTTAAATGCATTTTTTTAGCATTTTCAAATAATGGAATGGCATAGCAATGAAGGTTTACCCTTTAACTTCCAGATCAAATTTGTCATTCTCCTTACTGTCAACCATACAATTCTTATAATGTTAGGTCAGAGAATTTAATGTTGGATCAACTAATTATCCCCAAATTGAAATTTTTCTTCATTCTCATCACTTGTCTGGTTGATACTGTAATGATATTGTAAGGAGAAATTTTGGCTTGGTCACTCATGGGAGTTAAAGGGTTAAGTTTATAAAGGGTTATGTACTGGATTGCATCACATTCCGTGACATTTAATTTGTAGGTACAAATTATGACAAGGATAATTGAAAGTTAAAGTGAAGAAGAAGTGAAAACAATTTTAGATTCAAAACTCCTTGGAAAGCTTATTGTTATATTAGCATTTAATGTGTTAAATTATGAGTGTTTGTCAGTTGATTTCCTTTTTGTTTTGTTCTAGGTATTCCAGACACAAGTCTCCATTATACATGCTAGGTACTACAGATACCATGTTAGGGTTGGGGGGGAATATTTCATATTATCTTTTTTAAATGTTTATATTTTGTAAACAGAGATTCAAGTTCTATCAGATTTTTCTATACTTCAATATACCATGTCAGGGATGGGGTGGATGTTTCTTATTGTCTTTTCATTTCATGTATCAAAATTATTCTAAGATATTCTGCATACCAATGTTTTACCCAATTTCTTCCAGCTGTGTCTCTGTTGTGATCATTAGGAAGCACTGAAAGCAAGAGCACTGAAAGCAAGAGCACTGAAGATACATTGTAGGGAATTTTTTAGGATTCTCAAATTGTAGGGGCTTTTTTTAGGATTTTCAAATTTAATGGTATCTTCAAGAGAATAAGTCATGACTAACTTTCAGTCTTTTTAACATGGAGGAGTGCATAATGTAACCACCATCAAGATCAATTTTGTCTCCTAGTGTTACATCACAAACTGGCTGTGAAGTACATTGCATGCTTATTTTTTGCAGAGACCCTTGGGGATCTCTCTTTCTGAAGTATTCATCATTTTGTTTAGTACCGAATGTGACAGCAACCAATGGTGGTGCATTATGCAGACTGCACCCACCCCTCCCCTAACTCAACAACAGTCAATTGACAACAACTTAAGGTTAATGTTGGGTTAGAGGAGGGGCAGGTGGGCAGTTGCCCAGATACTGATATTGATCTGAGATTTTTTTCCAGTATGCCCTCCGGTGTTTCTTCAAGTTTGGAAGTTAAAGAAAAAGGGATGAGTGATGGCCTTTTACACAGCTTTTACGCTGTTTTCAGGTTCTTGCGCGGGGTGAATCGATTGCAAGCTAATTGGTTGGTAAAGATGGACTTTGCGCAAGAATGGGTGCAGCAGTTTCATCTTCTTTAAGAGAATTGGGTTTGGAGGAAATGAAAATGGAACAATGGAAAACTCTACAAGCAATTGGTTTAGATTCCAGAGAAGTCCTCTTGCTCAGTTCTACTCCTGATGCAAAAGTTGTTGATTGTACTAGTGACAGCACTTGAACCAGAATGACTTCAAAACAGAAGCAATGTTTTGGAACTCTTATAAAAACATCCATTTATTGGCCCCTTACATATGACATACCTTAGACAACTTTTAACTTTTCCTTGATGTACTTAACAATGAAAACATGTCAAACAAGTTTCTTCTGACCTTGATTTGGTATTTTCTTGTTATTTTAATGTAATTTTTTATTATTTCAAGTGAAGATAACTTATTTAACACCTATTGTACTATTTACTTGTTCCAAGAAAACTTAAGGAAACAAAAATAAAAATTCTTACTTGATGTGTCACAGCTCTATCTACCTACTACGAAGGCGCCATTTTTCTACCTACATGTTGTGGATTTGAACTGAAATCAATCGATCAATCAAACTATTTATCGAGGGTTGCATGAAACAGTTACCATACTGATAAACGAGGAAGAGGAAAGCATAATTTCATTTTTCTTTCAAGAGGATATATGTATGAAGTTATTACTGAACTTTTAGCTAAGGTTCATGGCATTACGATGTTTGTACGAACATTAAAAAGGGTTGAAGAATTTGAACTTACAGAATCAAATGGAGACTAACCAAACACAAAGAATCTAAATATTAAAACGAAAGGAAAATACCTGGCACTGACAGTGAAAACTGACCCCTTTACACATTCTATGTCACCTAGTTTTCAACTAAAAGAATGACATAAAAGTATGGGAAATCTTTTTGCATTTACCTATAAGATAACTAAATTTAATGTTAAAAAAAAAACAAAAACAGTTCGCCTTGTTTGGGTTTCTTTGGACTTTAGCCTTACTACCCTGCCAGTAACAGAAATGAACAAGAAATAATAAGTGTTAGTCATCAGCTTGAGTATAAGTTATTTCAAGGATTCCACTCTTTCCTGAAATAAAAGGAAATTTTATTGATTTGTTATGACTCCAACTGATAGATAGATAAACTTTATTTATACAGGGTGACCCCTCAGCTATAGGGATGGTATCCAGAGGGGCCCTGGTGTTGAAAACTAACCATACTGTTGTAGAAATTACTAGTTAAAAATAAACTTCAAATATATTCCTAACATTATATGAGGTACAATTTAAGATTAAGAAACTTAAAAGCAGCCTTATAGGAACAAAATTTAAAAAGGGAAGTTATAAAAACAAGTAATTTTTAATTCAATGTTTAAAAATCTACAAGGACTCAGCTTGCTCCACCTACTGTGAAAGAGCACATTTTCTGCCAGATGTTTCTGAAGTCTGGGGATAAGTAGGCATTGCATTCTGACACTGCATAGACAGCCAAAACAACACAAGTTCACATTTTCATGACTGCCATTTGAGACAAACTCTCTTAAATCCTCTCCCCTTATCCATTGTTTATTTTACATATTTCCCATAACTTTTTCAGCAGTGTCAAGTTACCTCTAATCTTGTTACTCTCTTCCCTTACAAAACTTTGTAACAGCAAATTCTGACAACAGCCACAGGACACTTGTCAGCTGAAAGTTTCCTTGATAAACAAAACTGTTTATTTTTTGACATTCATTAAGAGTGATCATGTACCCTGCAAGGTCACTCGTCTTCTCATAGGTTATTGCCTCTCCATCTATGTTATTTTCTCTAACAAATAGGACCTCCTCTCCAGGAAACAAATGAGGACCTGCCAAATAAACAGGACACAGATCTCAATAGGATAACTCATTTTCAAGTGATATTACAACAAAAAGAACCATTTCATTGATAACAGATACAATTATCTTACTCACCTTTGATATCCTTTCCCAAAGCATGAAGACTTACGAGTGTGATAATTTTCATGAAATCCTCTGGGGACTTCACAAAATCTTCCAGGAAACCAACCTTCCCTGTTACATTGCACTCAATGTTTGAACTCTTGAAGTGAATGCTCTTACTGGAGCTGGCATCCCTGAAGTCACTCACTTCCAGTGTTACTTCATGTGGAATTTTCTCCACTATTGAAGAGAACAAAGTGCAGTCAAGTCTACAAACTTAAAAATATGCAGAAAATATGATCTATTTTCTATTCACCTTAGCCTGCATGGGCTCAGAAAAAGTCAAGTCCAATAACCAAATTTCTATTAATTTAAATCTGAAGATTGGGCAGATTAGCAAAGGAAACTTTCACAATCCCTAGCAAAAAATGTAATGCAAAACTCACTTCACTACAGTGATTTCAAATATTAATTCTGTTCCACTCAAGTCTAACTGTAGGTTGACCAAAAAATTAAGTAATAACCAATTCACACCACAGCTAAAGTGTATTTCAAATCTGTTTTGTTAAAAACAGTTTAAAATTAGATAATTTGGTTTCATCAATTTAAACATCAATGAATCTTCCTCAGAGTGAATGAAGTGCTGCTCAAGCTAGTAGGGACTTTTTACAGTTAGGATAGCAACACTAAGGAAGACATCAATTTCAAAATAAATATATATTTTTAGTCGGATTTCATGATTGACTAGATGTGTTCATCATCTCTTATGGCACTGCAAGTTAAAAATCAGCATAATGTATGAGAGCAGTGTTGAGTTCCTAGTGGAAACTTAAATAATTTGCTGTTGGGGTTTCCTTTCTTGGACCACACAAATTTTGATGAGGACAGCTTAGAAATGTACACAGTTTTAAAATGCACATGCCAAGCTACTGTTCTGCTCATTGGATCTTCTGCCTTGTCCTTGTTGCCTTCGCTGTTGTGATTTGCTCAAGGTCCCTAATGTCTGTCAACTTCCAATTCGACACAGTGAAAATACAAGTCAATGACTTGGTACTTCAATGAACCACTAGGAAATTCAGTTGTTTACTTCTCTGTTTGTGATTTTCATTCAGTGAAACACTTTTTTTTGTCTCTGAAAAAATCCTCTTGTCTGTTGGGCAAGTGAGAGTCAGAATCTGCCAGCCTGATCTCAAAATCCACTAGCCCCTGGCTTACTATACCAACCAATTGGGTTTGTAATGTAAACAACGTTGGCTGAATATGAAACCCAGTACATTCAAATAAAAACAGGTCATAATTATCTAAAAAACAATTACCAGATTCATTTTCAACTTCCATTTCTTCTTCACTGCCAATGCCATATCTAGCTGTAAAGGCAAGTTTGATATCCTGTTGGTGGAATACAGATAAAAATGTCATTACCTGTAATAGGCCTTCTTCAATCCATACAAAAACTGGTTAAAAAATCAGCAAAAAAACCTCATATTCTGTGACTCACTTTGTCACAAAATGCTTGAACTCTATATAACATCATCATGAATTGTGCAAGTTTTTAAGTCATGGATGATGACCCAAAATACAATTTTGCACCATGATGAACATTTTTGACAATTTTATAATAAGGAATAATGAGGAACAGTTCACTCTTTCAAATTCCCAGACATATCACCATGTGATGTTTACCATTTTGTTATTTATTACAACATCTATCGTCAAAACTCACCTTACTATGGCACTGCAAGCTGATGACTGATTCTGAAAAAATTACATTTTACAGGTAAAAATTAAATCAACAAGGAACCTAATATTCTGTTTCAATATCAAGAGTGAATTTAAAAAGTCAGAGAAGGAAGAAAAATAGCCCTTTTTACAGTTCCTGGTCCCATATTGGATTAGTAACCACACACACACACGATAATGAGGCTGGGGTTGACCCGGCAGTTCTTTCAATCAGCTGATCTACTGACGTTTCAAGTTCTAATGCACTTTTCAATGCGATTTCTCCCTTCAAAATGGTTCTTTAATACAACAATATGAAAATTTTGTTATAAGATGACATCTAGAAACTCAAAGCATTAGATCTTAGGGAGACTTTAAAGGCTAATTCAGAATTGATGGGCAGAATTAGCGCTGACTTTATGTCGAAATGTTGTGCTTTGCTGATGTGACATGTCCTTCCATCCAGTAATGGAGAAAACCGAGAACTTCTTACAGATGTCCAGGACCTAGAACAAAACCAGAGTGACTTCAAATATGAAGCAACTATGGTAAGGACTTCGAGCAATCTCCATAATTTAACTGAGGTGAAATTCATTCAGCTTTATGATTACCCCATTGTTTCCACACAAAAATATTGCCACATCGTGTTGAGAGGAATGCATTACAAAAAGCTGAAATCCTATCAGTTCTTCTTTGAAGGAAACATGAAAAAACTGGAGAGTAAAATTTTTGAAAACAAAATTTATGTAAGGGCAAATGTTCTTCACTTAAACGTCTAAAACTGTTTGCATTCAAGTTCCTTCTTTCTCTTCCATGACATCAAATCTAAATTGGATATTAGACAGATCAATCCACAGGAAGTACCACATAAGCTCTTCAGTATGGCTTAGGAGGTGAGGCAAAGGCCGTAGCCCTCTAGGTAGAGGAGATTTGTTATTGCTGCTGTTGTTGATGTGGTACTTGTTGTTGTACCATATTCTTCAGTTTAAGTTGTTCCCATTTTGTTTACCAAGATATATTTTAGCTTGCCATTTGTACATTGTATCTTATGAGAAACTATACAATAGAGCCTGTAGAACCACTTGATTATAACCCTTCTTTCTATCAACCCATGAAGGAAACTTTAACTAACAGATGTCATAATATTTTCATACCCATCTGGCCCAGGACAACTTATGCTTGTGATACATTGAAAACCATTTCAGTTCGTGACTCATGGTAATTTATTAGGTGGATAGACAGCATTGAAAGAATCAGACCAAAATATTAGACAATTTAAAAAGCTCCCAAAAATTACTGATTCATGTAACTTCTCCCCATAATATCCAAACACCATCCAGCATACAGACAATGATAATACTGAAACTTATTGGGCAGAAGTTATCTCGATCTTACATTAAATTCTCATTACCTATTTACAAGTAAATGTGTAGCAGCCAAAAGGGAGAATTAAAAATCAGATCTTGGGTATTTAAGGGTTAAAGGAAGAGAACAGAAATGCTTCCTCTCAGCTACTGATCTCAACAATACTAGTCCTTTACACACATTTAAGTTTCTGTCAGTGATAAACATTAAGTGAATTGATATTCTCATTCTTAGTGCTCAGAGGCCTTCTGACACAAAGGTTTGCTATACTAGTTCTTATTGCATTGTGTTAACCAATGTTATGATAATATAATTTTGACATTAAAGAAGATACTTAAAAGATTGAGAAATATATCCAAATCAAGATATTTTTTTTATACTGTTACAGTTACCATAAGATTTGTTTGAAAGAGAATCTTTCAGACCATCAAATTGTATGAGAAATTATATTTTGTGAGACTTCCATCAAACTTTTTATTATGAGGACAATGTTGTGAATAATAAAATTTAGTGTTATAGTTCATCTTTGTGTTGAGAACTCTTTTAGTTGGTGAAACTCACTTTTTCTTTTTTTCAATTTGAAGCATCAAATTGATTGATACATAAAGCACACAAAATATTTTTGGAGAGTTCCATGTGGCATCCATATTGAATTACTAAGCTATCATAAAAAAAACAAAAACAACAACTACTGAAAACTTCTTTTGTCACAATTGCTACCAAATTTGTGTCAGTTTTCTGGGTCTGCCATAATAAGTGAAAGCTCTGAAGATACAGTGTCTTGGTTATTTTTTAAAAAGCAATTACTTTCCAAGAGTTTATCTGCTAGGAGTGTTTTAGGCAAGCCATGTAGGGCTTTCAATAACATCTGGCACCCGCTGGAGCTCTGGTGGGTATTGTGATGTGAATTGCTGGATATACTTTGCTGTGTCCAAGTCAAATTTACAGAACAGAAAGGTAAATAAATAACAGAAAATAACAGTCAATTTAGTACTGGAGTATTCACCCCAGTTTTTTTTAAATTATATAGTCTTTGTTTGTTAGATTCATTCTTTCACTGGCAGTTTTCAGATGAAAATTTGATACACATAGTATATTGTCTAGTTTTGTTTTTGTTAACTGCCTGTTGAAAGTGTTTAGTATTATGTGATGTTGGATGGTTAACACCATTCTGGATCTTTCTGTGACTCTTTGGAAGCTTAAGAGAGACCTCAAACACCTGGAGGTCTTTTAAATTTCTTTCAGGCCACTTTTACCCTTATAAACAAGTTTTGAGTAAAAAAAAAAAAAAAAACTATTGGTACTGTCTTATCATATCGTAAACCAAGTTTCCTGGAAAAATAAGATTGTGAGTTTACGAGAACATACTGACTACAATTTCAGTAACCAGTAATCATACGTCCTTTTAGAGGACTTTTTGTGTGAAACTCAAGCAGCAGGTTTGCAAGTCAGCAAATGGAAGATTTTGATAAGAAATAAACAATCAGTTACACAATTGTTACAAAGGAGGAGACTAATAGTATATGTTTATTTACCAAAGTTTGCCACAGAAAACTCTGTTTGAAGCAATTTTACTCTAATGGAACTAATGGGCTAACCAGATTGAAATTGTTTTTCATATTATCTTCTGGCAAGTGCTTTACCGAGGTAGCCACTTACTTCAAATCTTACTGAAAGCACTGCCACGTAGTAAACAGGTGAACAGTACTGAGCTCATTGACTTACTGCCGGAATAAAAAAAACTCTATTGAACTTAAAACAATTCAGGTACCTAATAGAAAATTTGTACTAATTTTGCAACAATAGATACCCTCATCCATGATTCACAGAGAATAAGTAGAGAACGATAAATACTTAGCAAAAATACATGCTTCCGTGCATAAACTTGAAGAAGTGAAAGCTCGTAGGCAAACCTTTCTTTTTGGGAGAAGATTAGCTTTATCGAGATTTCGGCTAGGACCATCCATTTTCCTTAAATCGAACAATTTTACTACCCATGTTCGAATTTCAACAAAAGCGCTCACAGACATTTAACACGAGTCAATCCTCGCCTTGTTTTCACTTGTGCGCGTTTTCATGCCCAATATAGCGCTAGGAACTATAAACAGGTCTATTATTTACATGTACATGATTTGGGCATATATGACCTTCCACGGGAAAACGCACACTAACGGCTTTCCGTTAAACGGGTCAAACGCAAACATCAAAAGTCTAAGCGTTCGACGGGCATCATTTAAAATACAGCGTTTACAAACGGGTGTCTTTTGCGTAGATTCTTTGAATAATATCGTGTCTACGGCGAAAAAGCCTTTTCCTTCTACATTCGACTCAAGGTCTAATAAGCCGAATATTGTATAGGGAGAATGCGGAGTATACAGGAAGCTAAAGTGTTTGTTGATCGAGGTTGTCTGAGAAAGATCAGGATAAAACCTCTGTGGTCGCTGTTAACTATGACGGCATTCGGTCTCTTAGTGAGCGTATATACCGACTAGGTTTTTAGCTTAAAACCCCACAGTCCTAATGGGGCCGAACGCCTGACAGTAAGTATTCACATACCTCTCTTTTTCGCGGAAAAGGCCATTTTGCAATTGAACAAAATTCAAGCGGAGAAACGTGAGGAATCGAATTGGCGAATTTCCCATCATTCTTTAATTTCATGTTCCTCGGTTACGTGTTTTCGCGAAATGGAAAAGGCTTTACGGTCCTCAACTCTACTTATGCGAATCTTTGTCTGTTTGCTCTCTCTTCTGATTGGCTGTTGTAAGGCTACTGTCACTCAGCACGGTAGAGAGGCAATTTATCTGCGCATGTTCCGTAAATTTAGCTTGATTGATGCCAGAAACCGCTGGTATGCGTCTGTGTCGATTCGTAAGTGAAGAGATGAAGGAACATATGCCGGAAACAACAATGGATTGAGTATTTGAAACAACCTTTCTTGAGACAACCTTTCTTGTCATTTGTTCCTCTGTAACTTAGATGGAGGCGTCAAAGTCCTAAAATTGTTGTGTGGTGTGTGGAAGGAAGTGATCTTCTAAAAGCAAAAGATTATGCAAACGACTTCGAGTCTTGTCTTCTAACAATGATAATAATGGCTTTATTCTGCATTTCCACAAGGTGGCTCTTCATCTGTGAAATACATCTCCTTAAAAACATATCTTCTAGATAAAAATTCAAATAAGTTATTTCTACCTAAAAGAAATACATCTGCTTAGAAATAAAGTTAAAAATACAGGAGAGGTAGAATAATATGGTAATTACAAATATAGGAGACGTAAAATAAGTATACCTATTTGGCAATGTGAAGTAAAAACTACATCGAGCTGAAAAGTTATCTTGGACCGTATTCATCAGATGCTTTAAAGTCATTTTAGAGAACTGATTAAAGTCAATACAGTTCCTTACACATTCAGATAAAATATTAAAACTCTTGGCGACTTGATCTTGATAAATGTGAGATACCACCAGTGGGATTTCAAGCTGCATAGCTGCGCTGGAACTCATAGTTCAACTTTGCTTAAATTGCTTCAATTGTAAGTAACCTGGCCATTCATGAGAAAAAATTACCCTGTGAACTGACTGCCATTCAAGCAATATAGATGATGTTGTTTTTGAAGGATGCAAGAGGCCTATGGAAGAGCACAAACGTATTGTATGGTACACTTTTATCCTGTCATTGCTTTCTCAAGTTATAGTTGATCATTTGAAGTACTCACTTTCCTGTGAGCATTTTGGAGAGCTTCAACTCGACTGCTAGTGCGATGTACTTACAATTTTAGTGAAAAATTAAAGTTTACAGAAGTTTGTTTTGTTTCAAAAGTTTTTTTCTGACATGAATCACAACTGAATATTGTGAATATTGTGAACATTTTGGAAATTTGAATCATCAAACTCTTTTATTTTATGTGTAGGTGGTTGTCAATCAGAGAAAAGTCCATTCAGTGCAAGATATGAAGATGGAAAGCTTTACTTTGAAGGAGAATGGTATGTGGTTCTGTGACTGACATATATTTGTTAATTTGTGACAGCAGTGCACACATGACAATGACTATTAAGACTAAATCACACACCTAGAATGGTATTTGTGAATATAATTGTAATTCTTTTTTAAGGTTCCACAAAGGTTATCATGTACTGATAGAGAGTAGAAATGATACAAATTCCAGGTATGTCGATAGCTCATGTTCCTGATGTTACATGTTATCATAAATTTACTTTTAAATTTCTTCTTTTTGTATGACTGTATTTCAATATATAACTATCTTAAGCTGTACCCTTCAATTTGACTTGTTCATCAATGTGTTGTTATGTATTTGTTAGTTCCCAGTCTAGTTCAATTTCTTTTTCAAGTGCGCATTGCAAGGCACTGATTTTGCTCCAGAATATTTGCAACAGTTGTCAGACATAATTGTTAGGTCAAAGAAGTGCCTTGATTTATTCAATTTTACCATGTTGCAGCCATAGCACTGGGCAAACACACTTGCTTATACATAGCTTTTTATGGCTTATTTCAGGAAATTTGTTCTGGAGATGAAACATTTTTGTTTTTTTAGCTTTTTATGGGCTTATTTCAGTAAATTTGTTCCAGTAATGAAACATTTTTGTTTTTTTAATTTAGCACTGTTGTTACATGAATCAACACCAGAGAGGTGATTAAATAATTTTCTTAGTTTCTACTTCATTTGTGTGGTATTTCTAGCCAGTCTTCTGTTGAACAGAACTAAAAATTTCTTTTCATGATAACCCTTAAAAACAGAACTCCCAAGAGAGATCTGCATCAAATTTCTCATTACAAGATTATCATGTTATCATAAGTAAAGGTTATGGGAGTCAAGGAACTGATCATTAAAGAAAAATAGCCTTATTATTATATTGAAATCCATGGGCACCATTGACAAGAATTTATAGAAGTTAATGGTTTATTAAAGAGTGATAAGCATTTAATTTCTCCTTACTATATCACCCCCTGAATTACACATCAAGGTCACAAGAATCAAAGAAATGATCACCAACTCAAGACTCTCTTGACTATTAAACCAACTCTCTCCTTGTCAGCACCTTAAGAAATGTAAAGAGGACAGTATGGAGATTATACATATTAATATTAGGGTGTAAAGGGTTAAACAAAGTTTAGCTGTTGTTTAACAAAACCACATTCTAATTTATCTTGAATTTGGCTGAATCTTTTGCCTGAATATCGATATTTGTGAATTTTATCAAAAGGGTCAAAACCTACCAGTGGAAGCTTGGATAGATATTAAATGAAAACATTCCTCTTATAGAGAATACATGAGGCCCACTGCTTGCGTAAAACTCCAGTTTGGGTTCGACCTCATGAAAATAACCAGCTCTACATGTTTACAATGGGGTTCAAAGGGTTGATATTTATCTTTTTCTTAATTAGGAGACATTTTCTTGATCAGGGGTAATTGTTTATTTGTGATTTTCAGGTGTGGGCGAGAAAAGAAGATGAATCAAAAACAAAGTTGTTCATAGGACAACTACTGAAAAGAAATAAAGGATGAAAAAGTCATGAAAAGTATTATGTTACATTTTGATTTACATTGTAGAGAAGCTGTTAGATTTCAGTCTATTTTGAGAAAGATTGTATAAGGATGCAATGATACCTGTTATATGTGTAATGTAGTTGGTGCATATCATGTGACACTTTGACATCATGACATGTTGCTGTGACAGCAGTGATAACTTGAGGATGGCAATTTTTCAAATCCCTCACACTGTTGTGAGAAATTTAGCATGTTAACCTACTCATGCACAACTGGAAGCAATAAAAAGCTGACCAATCCTGACCCTTGGAACAAGAGAGTAGAAAACCTAAGGCCCAAGAAGAGCCACAAAGAATAATAAGAGAAAACTGATGTAAAAGAATTGAGATAAACAGGATGAAAGATATCAAGGTCAGGAAGGGTTGGTCAGATAGGGAAGTCTTTTATAAGTGAGCAACAAGTAAATCATGAGGAAAACTACTCACTACACAATGTAAATAAGCTCCCATACCATACATTCAGACTCTCAGATTTGTGAGAAACATGTTTTCTGTGTTGGTTGTCTCTTGGCCAGAGGAAAACATTAAAATTTGTTTTTCAGATTTACTATTATCATTGTGCAATAGTTCTTTTTCTATTGGAATGCTAAAGTTTAGTCAGGCTAACAGAAAATGGGCTCGTGTGGTGTACGTTTGTGTTAACTCTTCGACTACTGATGTGATTAACATGAAACCTCTCCCTTTAATATTTATGCATTATCCAGCAAACAGGTAAGGAGAATAGTCGAGTCGAATAGAATAGTTTTCTTGATCTGGGACCAAATTCTCTTAACTACAGTTGTTTAAGAGGAAATGTGCAGCAGTTAGAGGAGTGGATTAACAATGATATCCAAGGAGTTGGGTGAAGGGTTAAGAATATACAGAACATTATCATGGAAAGCTTCTTTCTATTTTCACTTTTCCCACTGCAATGTAAATTAAAGTTCTCCTTTAAAACTTTAGCCTTTAAGATCCTTTCAAAATTTCTATTGGCTCTCTGTGTGAAGAAAACTTCCTAATATTTAAACAGAAACTTTTTGATGTATTTAGTATACACATGGCATTTTGATACCTTTCACATTGTGTTACAAGGTAATTGAAGACTATATAATCTTGTTTTCTGTTGACCATGCAAGCTGTAAGTTATGTCTTCTAAAGAAAATTGTGACTGGAAAATGGTAGACTGTCGACCAACGCATCAGCTGACACGTTGGTAGGATTGGATTCTTTACCTTTACCAGAAAATGCCCTTAGTAAATAAAAATGTATCTCCTTTTTAAATCTTGGAGTAAATCTCTTCTCTTGTAGTGTGGTACTTTACCTGGTCCAAAGAGACTTTCTCAACAGAAAATGATTATTTTCTTCTTCATAAACAATTAAGAAATATGTCTCTTGAATGGCTACTGAATTTTTTTAAAATTATGTGGGGGTATCTCTTTGGTCTACGTCAAAAAATATCACAAAGGTTAGAGACAAAGTCACTTGACAAGTAAATTTATGGTTTAGAGTGCCAAAATGACATGTAGGTATTAGAACGGACACGAAGAGAAAAGTAAACAAAATAAAGTGCTTTGAGTATTTCCTTTTAAACAGGATGTGACATCTACTTTGACCCAGAACCTTATGAAGTGTTACGTTCAATCTTGTTCTCTATTATTTGCCATAAAGAAAGAATTCTTGCCATGTTCCATACATATGGCTTTTTATTCTTTTAAGTTTACAACCCTCTAAAGGTTTGCATATCCCAACTTATCCAAAACAAGTTGCTCATGACGGTTTACCCACTAAGAGCTGAGTCACTCCCTCACAGTATCAGACTTAAATCAAATGTAAATGTTATGAGCATGAAGGAAATGACCACCAATTTAAGAAGCTCCTTATTTTCAAAAACAATTCTTGTATAAGATAATATAACAGGAAATGTAAGGAGAACAGGATGGATAATATGAATGCTCAGGGTGGGGAGGGAAAGGGTTAATTGTCACCACCAGATCTTTAGCTTGTTTTATTCTCTAGCAAAAGAGGATTCAAGTACATTCACACAGTATACAACAGCAGTGTTTAAATTTATTCAGCTTAAAAAGGATAAAAAAAAGGAAAATTCAATGAAAAGCATATTTAAAACATCCTCATTGTAACTGAGTTGATGATGGGTCAACTGTGGTCACTTTACATTATCAACTTTGTTGATAAAACTGATCATTATGTGATACCTGGCTCTGACAGTTAAAACTAATCCCTTTACACATTCTATGTTGCCTAGTTTTTAACTAAAAGAATGACATAAAAGTATGGGAAATCTTTTTGCATTTAATTATTGCTTATAAGATAACTAAATTTAATGTTTTCTTTTAAAATACGAATTAGCCTTGTTTGGGTTTCTCAGGACTTTAGCCTTGCTTCCCTGCCAGTAACAGAAATGAATAAGAAATAACGAGTGTAAGTATTCAGCTTGGGTACGAGTAATTTTCAAAGATTCCACTCTTTCCTGAAACGAAACTTATTAAATAATTAGGATGTTTTATTGGTCTGTTATGACTCCAATTGATAAATAGAAAGATAAACTTTATTTATACGGGGTAACCCATTCAGCTAAAAGGATAGTATACAGAGGGGCCTGATGTTGAAAACTAACAGAAAAAATTTCTTTATATAGAGCAACCCATTCAGCTATAAGGATAGTATACAGAGGGGCCTGATGTTGAAAACTAACAGAAACTACCACTTAAAATATTTAAATATTTACAAAATATATATTCCAAACATTCTATGAGGTATAATAAAGATTAAGAAACTTAAAAGCAGCCTAAAAGTATAATAAATTTAAAAAGGGAAGTTATAAAAACAAGTAATTTTTAATTTAATGTTTAAAAATCTACAAGGACTCAGCTTGCTCCACCTGCTGTGAAAGAGCACATTTTCTGCTTAGATGTTTCTGAAGTCTGAGAATAAGTAATCATTGCATTCTGACACTGCATAGACAGCCAAAACAACACAAGTTCACATTTTTACAACTGCCATTTAAGACAAACTCTCCAAAATCCTCTCCCTTTGTCCATTGTTTATTTTCCAAATTTACACATAACTTTTTTAGCAGTCTCAAGTTATCTTTAAACTAGTTACTATCTTCCCTTACCAAACTTATTCACAGCCAATTCTGAAAGCAGCCACAGGACACTTGTCAGCCAGAATTTCTTTGGATGAACACCAACAAAATTGTTGATTTGTTCATATTCAGAAACAGAGGTTATGTCACTTGCAGGGTCACTCTTGAAGCTGAAGGCTAATGTACCTCCATGTTCATCCACTTTCGTTATTGAAAGTTCTTCATTTTCAGGAACCAAATGAATACCTGCCAACAAAAAAGACAGATCTCAATAAGACAACACATTTGCAAGTTATATTAGAACAAAAAACCCAACTACTTTCAAATGTGATAGTTGAAAGAACCATTTCATAGTGAAGAGTTAAATTTTTGGAGGATGTACTGCACAGTACCAGTCAACCCCACAAAGTTTCCATGCCACACTTCATTATGTGAAATCTAAATAATCTAAATAATCTTACTCACCATGGATATCCTTCTCTAAAAGTTTACCACTGATACACCTGACAGTTTTCATGATAACCCCAGGTGAGGTCATAAACTTTTCTAGAAAACCCATTGTCCCTTTAACATCATCCCGAATCCTTTGATAAACTTCATCAGAAAATCGGCTCTCCTGTGTGTCATTCATTCTCAGATGTAATTCATGTGGACGTTGTTCAGCTATTGAAGAAAACAACATGCAGTCATGTGATCTATTCATATAGCCATTCACCTTCACCTGCAAGAGCTCAACAAAAGTCCTGTCCAATAGCCACATTTCTATTGGCTTTATCTGAAGATTCTACAGATTAGCAAGACTGCATAAGAAAACTTTCACACTGCCTAGCAACAAATGTGATGCTATACTCACTTCACTAGAGCAGCTTCAATTACTAGTTCTGTTCCACTTAAATCTAACTGTAGGTTGACAAAAAAAATTACACAACCAATTCACACCAAAGCTTAAATGTATTTTAAAGCTGTTTTGCTAAACACGGTTCAAAATTAGATTATTTGGTTTCATCAATTTAAACATCAACAAGTTGATGATGTAAATTGGCCATGGTAGAGAGTTTCTAAGCAGATGTTTAAGGGTTAGCCCTTTATCAGAGTTAGTGCAGTAGCAGAGCCTGGAAAATCAAAGTTTTGTTCAACCCACAAGCTAGTAAAGGTTTGACAGTGGATTTTATTAGACAAATACCTCCTAAGTAAGGGTCACTATGTCAGAGTTGAAAAGTGGTATACCATCTGAGAAAAAGGGGGGGTTTGGCTACGTCACCCCTTTGTCAGCCTGAAAACAAGGTCGTAGAGTGGGTGACATTTGTTTACTCCTTTTTTACACCATTATTTACATTTGCCATCCAAATACCTGGTCAGTTCAAAATACTTTCTTCACTGGTTTAATTGCACCATAAAGCGACGTCATATGACAAGAAAAATCCTTAAAAAACCCTCAAAAATATAAAAAAAATCCATGTCTTTCTATAAACAAGTATGAAATTTGATTCTCAGCCTGACTTGTAGCACAATCATCATGCCCAAATGTGTAACATAGGGTATTTTCATGAAAATGTAAAAAGTATGCCAAAAATACTTTTATTTGCTAGATATACTTGCTAATTTACGTTCTAAAAAGAATTAGTGAAGATTTCAATGTTTGTTCGGTTTTTAAAGCTCAATTACTGATTACCCACAATCCTTTGCGGGTGTGGCATTTGACTGTATCACTAGATTTCACTGGCCATAATGGCTGAGTTACAAAAAAAAATAATTATAATAATATATAATTATAATATTAATTATATTTCAACTATCTCTAGATTTACAAAGAAGCAATTATTTCTTCATTGACATCTACAGGGACTTTGTAAATGTTATTCCTCTTTCTCTTTAGTTCTCCACACACATCCCCTGAATTATCCATAAGAACTCCCTGCATACATAGAGGAGAGGTTACTTAGGAGACCTTCGATGTTTGTTGCTTGATTTCAACGAGAAAATCAGGCGAAGTTTAGCGTTTTTCGAGCGCTATTTGTGCGGATTTCAATGGAGAACGGGCTTGAAATTTGATCGTTACATATTGATAAACACAAAGCGAGAGTGAATTTAGGTTTCCGATTTAGTTTGCTTTGAATATCTTCTTTTGTATTGTATGTATGGCTGTAAAACTTTGGGGATTTGTAGTCGAACACATGAACTTTGCTTTGGAGTTGTCTCAGCAGCTGAGGTGAAGTAAAAGCTGAAATACAGGCATTTTTGCAGGTAAGTGGTGTTTGATTTTCCGTGTTTAAAAATAAACAATAACATCGTTTCCGAAACCAAAAATCACTTATTTCTTCTTTGCAGTTAAAAAGTTAGTTTAGATGAGGGTAAGTAAGTGTTTGAACCTTACTCAGACGAATCAACTTTCTTTGTAGGCGTATATTCAAGATGCTAGACCCGCACATGTACCATGCAAAGCTCTGTTGGATCTGCTGCGTTACACAAGCAAACAACAGCGACTGTCTTCAAGTTTTTTATTCCTGTTCTTTTAAAAACGAACATTTAACGCTGTCTCTTGGCATAAGGTGTATTTAAGCCCTACTCAATAAATGAGCATAATGGAAGTTTCTAATTGATGTTGTTTTGAGTACGAAATTAACCTTTATTTTCGGGTTTATGCAAATGAGATGTTACGCGTTACATTTATAATTTGGGTATATTTTCCAGTATCTTTAATATTTTTCAATTCTTACATTATTCCAAAAGACAACACAGTTATTTTTTATTAAACTGCAATCATCAGAGAAGCAAAATGACAAGTTTGAAAACAATCTGTCCATTGCTGATCAAGATATTTTCAAATATTTCTGAACAACCCTGAATCGTGATGATCATGCAAAGTAAACATCGCTTATGACAATCCCTTAATCATTTGGTTATCCAAAACATTCACTTCACCATTTACATGTATTTTGCTCTTTGTTTAATGATTAAAGATTGATACTTGGTCAATTTAATGTCAAAACATGAAAACCGATTGACATGAGATGTTTATAAACTTTAGTTAACAAATAAAAAAGTTTTCAGGCTTTCACTAAAGTGAATTATTGAAGAGCTAACATCAATCCTTTTCAAAAAATCAGTTTACATGTAATAACATAAAGCAGTTTTGACCAGTGTTGCTCACTGGACTAAGTCAATGATCAGCTGCTCGCCCATGTTTGTCAACTTCAAATATGACACATTGAAAATACTATGTTTGACTACTTTATATCCAGTCAACTTGAGATCCTTATAAACTTTGTTAAACAAATAAAAAGAATTGCTTTTTAATAAAGATCTTATCTAGAAACCAAGCTAAAACATTGGTGAAAAAATCTGACTGATTATCATGATGAGTCTTTACAGTGTTATTGTGTGACAACAACACCGTTCACATCTGAAGCAGTTAGAGTCATTGGTGATGTTTTATTTGCTTTATTCGCCTTGATATCCTTATAAACTTTGTTGCAAATAAAAAGATGTGTTTTTTACTAAAGATCTTGTCTAGAAAGCCAAGTTTTCTTTAAAAAATCTGAGCGATTGCTATGATGAGTCTTTACGGTGTTGTTGTTGCACAATAACTTGTTCGCATCTTAAGCTGTTATAGTCATTGGTGATGTTCACCAATGTTCACCAATGTTTAAGCTTCTGTTTGATGTTCACCAATGTTCGCCAGTGTTTTTTTATTAATTATCGTTTATTTTTCTGTATGTTTAACTTCTAATAAGTTGTATTGGATTGAGGAGCAACTCGTCAACGTCTCTACTCGATTTTATACATTGGCGAGTTGGCGTCGGCAAGTTGGACCGTCGGCGAGTTGAGCGTAATTCTTCAATAAACCATATAGGAAATTCAGTTGTTTAGTTCTCTGTTTCTGATGTTCATTCAGTTAACGCAGTTGAGCTGAACATGTTTTGCTGGTGTGAAAAGGGTATTAGACTTGAGATAATTCTTTACTTTGAACATTCCCTGAAAAAATTCCCTTTCAAACTTTCACACTAAGAAGCAGAATCTGCCAGCCTGATCTCAAAATTGACCAGTCCCTGGCTTACTACCCCCTACCAATAAGATTTTTAAAATGGTAACTGAATATGAAAACCAGTACATTCAAATCAAAACAGGGTATAAGTATCTGAAATGCAATTACCAGGTTCATTGTCAACCTCCATTCTTTCTTCCCCGCCAATGCCATATTTGGCTGTAAGTGCAAGTTCCAAATCCTATTGGAAGAATAAAGAAAAAAATGTCATTACCTGTTATAGGCCTTCTTCAATCTACACCAAAACCGGTTTAAAATAAGCAAAAAAAAACTCATATTCTGTGACTCACTTTCTTAATTGCTTGAGCTGTCCCCAACATTATTATCATTGAATTTACTGCCTCTGTATAATGTTTCCAAAGCTTATTAACAATGAATTGAACAAGTTTTTAAGTCTTGGATGATGAGCCAAAATACAATTTTGCACCATGATAAAAATGTTTGACAATTCTACTTTCTCTTTGTGACAATTGGAAGGCAAATAAATGCATTCACGTCTCAACAAAAAGTTGTATAACTCTGTTGGGTGATATTTTTGCAGGTGAAGGAATAATGAGGAACTGTTTACTCTTTCAAATTCCCAGACCCATAACACAGTGATGTTCTCCATTTTTGAAATTTATTCCAACATCTATCTAAGAAACTCACCTTACATTGGTACTGCAAGCTGATACTTGATTCTGAAAAAGAACAGTTCACAGGTAAAAATCAAATCAACTAGGAACCTAATATTCTGTTTCACTATCCAGAATGACTAAAAAATGTCGGAGAAGGAAGAAAAATATTTATATGTATTGATTTAGGAATATATTTTATTCTAACAAAAAACTCAGGTATATTCTGTGTTCTAACAAAAAAAAAAGACAATTAAAAAAACATTTGACAGTCAATGCATATAGTAGCACAAGTTATACAATTTAAGCTGCATATTAAACTTTAACCAAACATAAGAAGTAGGATCTAAAGCCTGTTCAGGGTCATTTGGCACTTCGTGATCAACATCAGATAGTTTGGGAGGGCTAAGTTCATTTGATTTGTCAAATTTATCTTATGCATAGGGCTGCCGCTCATTTAGCCATTGCATGACTTACTCAAAGACTGTTTTGAGAGAGTACTGGGCTTTTCAACCATTTTTGCACTCATAACACCCAGTGATACATAAAATTGCAGTCAGACCACTCTAAAAACTGGACTGGTAGAATGGTGGAATAGCATGAAATTACCCCATATCCCAAAAGATGGAATGGCAGATAATTAACCCCAAATCTTAAAGCCCTTTGCTTGGTTTTGAACTGCAGTGGGATGCTGCAGGAAGTTGCTCAATAGACCAGTTTCAAATTGTTTTTGCAAGATAGTCTGATAACTAATTATCAGCACCAAGTGGAGGTAGAGGGGAATATGCTCTTATTTTGAAAGCAAGATTAGAGTGACTGTAAGTTGAAAATGAAGTTTTGTGCCATCTCATGCCATCTTCCAACTCAAGCCTGTCTAATGCTGTTATCAATTATATTTTGCCCTTCAGAAAATAAGCAAAAACCCCCAGACTTCTATACGACAGTAAAAAGTCTTCATAATAGCCATCTTTTCTGACCAGATAATAGTAAATATCAGGAAACCTGAAGTCTGGAATACTCTTACCGTTTATGGAATTGTGAATATCCCTTTCCTTTAAAGATTTATGTAGCCCGGAACATGGAATACTCGTGAAAGCCATGTTGAGACGACTCTGCCTCGACTTGGTGCTGGAAACTAGTTACCAGACTTTCTCGCACAAACAATTTGAAACCTTGCCTTCACAAATTATTTTCGTAGAAAGCATGGGTCGTGTGATAACTGTCTCAACTGCACCAGATCTCATTTTTATAAGATAACGACGTAATTTCTTTCAGTCGGCAATATACATACTGTAATATTTTAAGCCGTTAACTTAAACGGCGTAAAATTTCTTGATATGTGTGTATACAGACTAGGTTTTTAGCTTAAAACCCCACAGTCTATAGACTGTGTTGGTCACATATACGCTGTAAACTTATTACCAATAAAAATAAGTAGCGCCAAGTTCCAGGAGGAATATAGCCGGCAGAGCTGGCGTAATTTTAGTGAGCGTGTGCTCATTATTTTCTTAACGAAAATTATGACCGCCATCTTTGATACGCTATGGCAGAGGAAGACCATACAATCACGAGCTTATATCGTAAGCTCCTTCTACAAAGACGCCAGCATTGCAGGCTAGTAGCTGATTTCTCGTTTTTGTTTCGCAGAGGACCGCGAAGAAATGTTGCAAGTTTCAAAAGACATGTGTTAAACTATTGCTCCTTCCCCTTCGTTGTTTTAGGGTTTAGGGTTTACGTTGTCGTTTGTCCAGCAGTGGTAATGGGCTAAAAGCCCGACAGCCAGAAACTTTCAAAGAATTCACATACCTTTCTTTATAGCGGATGAAGCCATTTGGCACTCGCATGATGTTTACAAGGCATCGAATGGTGGACAGACATCCCATCGTTCGCTCTCATGATTTTTGAGCCTGAAGAAAAAAATTAACATAAAATAATGTACTCCTGAAAGACGCTTAAGTATGTATATAGGCCTGCGAAGGTCATGTGGCAGTTTGCACTCTCCTTTGATTGGCTGTTGTATGGCTATTGTGATTGCTTTCACCAATTATCACGCAGCACGTCAGATAGGACACAGCGTCAAAATGAGTGCGCATGCTCTGCAGACTTTCGCTTTCGAGGTTCTTAAGGAAAAATCTGAAGGGTAAGTAGAATTATTTTAGACATTGATTTAAATTTATCCAGACAGCTCGTTGCGTGTTCCCGTTCCTTTCAGCAATTTTATTTACAAAACGCATTCCATCAACGGTATTTTTTTTAGTACATGTTTTAAACTTGAAAACCTTTTTGATGTAAACTCTTGTGGTAGTAAAAGCTGTTTTACAATCGAAGTTAGTCTTGAATCTGTTGGTCGTTTTGCTTAGGTGAACGTTCTTTTGATCGACACAAGCTCAATGTAACAGTGTACCAAGCAATACCGCCCTATTGCTTCCCCCAACACAACGTAAGTGTAATAGATGCAATAACATTTATACTTGACACATATCTAAACCTTTTTTGCGTCTGGAAATATGTCGATATAACTTTTTGATCAACTGCCGTTGTTTGACGTTTACATGCATCTCTTACCACACAGTGTTACCTGAAGTTGATGGAAGTAACCGTACACAAATTCACCGTCGCAGATAGCTTTGACTTCAGCCAGTTTAATAGTTGTTCAATGTCACTGCGTTGAGACTGTGAAAGAAAGGCGCCTTATAGTGACCAGGGTTTGAGCCAGGCCGCGCCATTGCGCCAATCCCGCGCTGCAATTGAAATTGTCCCTTAAAAAAACGGTCAAGGAGACAATTTGTCCCCTTCAAAATTTAGGGAAAAAATTCGAAAGGAAGCACACACGAAGAGTTTTATCTCGATACAGAAATTGCAAGCTAAAACAGAACGTGGAAAGTATATTTTCTTGCACGTTTAAAGTTCATTCTAAAGTCACGTTTCAGTCACACTTTACTGAACACGTACGTCTCATGCTCAACCAAGCGTGGTGAACGCACGTGGCAATCTTTACTACGCTTTTCACAAACATGCGAACTCAAAAGTTCAAAAGCCGCCTTCACAATTACGTTTTTCGCTGCCCTCAATCATAATTACGATCACAAGCAACGAACCTTGAAACACAGAAACACACGAAACGGATTGAAATCCACCAATCACAAATCACAAATCACAAACCATGACCTTTTGAACCCGTGAAAGTAAAGTTTTGTTTCCTAAGAGTTCCGTTAAGATGATTGACGGCAGTGAAAAACACAATCGTCAATTGGCTTTTGAACTTCAAAATTCGCATGTTTGTGAAAAGCGCAGTAACATGTCACATCGAAAACGTGTTCGAACATTAGAAAGCTTTTTCGCTCGGAATCGAAGCCAGAGTGAATCAGAGAAAAATGATACAGAAGAAGAACAGTGTATTAATCAGGAAGAAACGAATGAGGATCGAAGGAAACCGAAAAAATCACGAACTTTCCTGAAAACTTGGTTGCGAGATCACACATGGTTGCGCTATGAAAAAGAGGCGATGTTCTGCTATTTTTGTCGGAAATCTAAGAAGACAAACCCTTTGCAACGGCAGAAGGGTGTACAAATTTTAGAACCTCAACTCTGCAGCAACTCTTTTCTACAGCCTTTGATTTTTGGGCTAGAATCAACTGAAGAATTAGTACATTTACGTTTACCAGTGATTAAGAAAGGAATTGAAGTTTACACGGCGATGCCAGGACAAGATTCTGCTGTGTAATGTTTTGAAGTATAAAGCATAGTCATTGATCCTCTGTTTAACTATGATGAGAAAAAGAAATTTGACATCAATAACAACTTTTCTTTTTGGTATCACTTTTCTTGTATTACAAGTCTTACAAGGATCAGGTAAAAAAAATGTTTTCGTTGGCTTGCCTGTATGAATGTAAAAAAAGAAAATGTTGAATAAAATTAATTTGTCTGTCCCCCTAAAAATGAAAATGTCCTCCAAAATTTTTGCTAAGGGGACAAATTGTCCCCCAGTGATCAAATACTAGCTCAAACCCTGAGTGACTGGAGATGGCTATCCATTAAGATGATGTTGTCATTTGCATCACTTACCTATGAAATTGTTAAACCATTCACCCTTTAACTCCCAAGATCTCATTGTTAATTCTCCTTACAGTCTGCCATATAGTTCTAGTGATGTTGGTTTGGAGAATTTGGTATTAGGTCAACCAATAATCTCCTAATTAAGATTTTTCTTTATTCTCATCATTTGTCTGCTTGATATTGTAAGGAGAAATTCTTTCTTGGTCACTTATGGGAGTTAAAGGGTTTATTATCATAAAAGCAGCATTTGTGTTGGTAAGTCTTTTACTAGGTGGAAACTCAGAGCAGATTCCTCACTTGAATTAGTCTCCTTGACAAAACAAACAGTTAACTCCTCTTCATAACTTAAACTACCCAGGCTGCTTCTGACAAGAGGTATGGCTTCAACAACACCAAGATATGATAGTGACTGCATGAAACTGTCATATACTTGACTTCCCCCCATCATACATGACATCCAGCTTGGAGTCAGTGGTTGGTGGTTTTTCAGTTGAAGGAAGGATTTGTTTGTCAAGTATGTCTTTGCTAACAATGAAGAAATAACTGTACGAGCACTGCTGCCTTGATGACCCCCAATTGTTCACTGAGATAGGAAGGCTGGCAGTTCCCAGAGTGTGACTGATTGTGTAGTTGAAGATGGAATATGTATTGAAGTGGATTGTGATGGTACACTTAAGTTAGAGAACTGTTGCTGAGCTACTGATGGTGTTTGTTGTTGAGATTGATTGCGTGATTGTCAAAGGTAAGGGCAGGTAAGGTGAGAACCTTGAGATCTTTGGTGGCAAGGTTACCCACAGTTTAAAAGTGGTTTTGGTGTGAATTTGCAACTGAAGCAGGCCTTTCTGTGCTATGTCCTCTTTCTTAAGTTGTCCTGTGTGGAACACTTGGTTGTGGTATAATAAGCTGTTCCAGATTTCTAGTTATCATATTTTCCCCATCATGGGATTTGTAAAAGTCTGAATACCTAGAGGCATGTGTTGCTAGCTTGCTTTCAGGCTGTTCATGACTATTGTGGCTGTCTGCAATGTTGCTTCTTGCATCATGCTCTATAATACCCTTATTGAAGAAATCACCTAACTCATTTACTCTAGGTAGAAAAGGATCATTGCTCCATCAACTGGATGGGCAACTGCTATGGCTGGGAGACTTGATACCTTATGAATTGCTGTATTAGCTTTATCAGTAGGTTAAGTATGCACATTCATAACATGAAAATCATCAGTGAGATGGATAACAAGTTTTTTGGTCTTAAAAAAAAGTAATATCCATTTCATTGATCGCTTATGTTTGTACAAAAGTGGTTATGTTTATTGTTTTTTGTATTTGTTCTGCTTTATCCTGCAGGCTGTCAGCACAGTTTTGTCCACAACTTCCTCATGGTTGTTTTGCCTGCTGCTGGTTCAACTTGTCATTCATACATATTCCATTGCCAAAGCCCAAGACTCTCCCTGCAGTCTGTGCAGACCTGGTAAACCCGTGAATATCAAGGAACACTTCAACCTAGTTTTGGAGATGTGACATTTTCTGGGATCTGAGGGAAACTGAATATTATTCCTTTCATCAAACTCAAGAACAAAGGTTGTTTTGTACCAGTGACTGCTGACACTGTCAGAATAAAGCTGCCATGGAAATTTGTAAATTATATAAAATATAATAATTTTTTTATTCTTCCTATGGCAAAACTTTAGGCAGGTACATTGTAATTTGAAGTCAATACCTAAAGTAAGGCAATATGTGAAGTAGTACAACCATTCTTTACTGCTGTAAATGTGAATGCCTCTCACTGGTGGCATGTCTATCTACACTCACTATTGCACTGATGAGGATGTAAAAGAGATGTGGTGCATGAGTCTCACAAAGTGCCTGCATATCATCAGATCTGTATAGAGATAGACCTCCACTCTCATAGTGCCTGTACAAGGCTGACCAAAATTTTTCCACCAGCTGTGCAAGATTATATAGAAAATGCAATAATAATGTATTTGACCACTCTGTGAGTTATATAGAAATATCTTCAACAATTAACATGTGTTTACTTGTAAAATATGAGCAGAGTGGAGGACCTTTATCTGTATTATATTATTACTTGTTGATGTTGTTGTGGAGATGTTTAACCCTGCAGGTGCAATCATAGCATAACTCTGATTATTAGCAATATGGTGGATTGGTTACCTTTCTTAGATTTCTTAAAACTCACACCTGTGCCCTGAATATTTTTTTGTTGGGAAAGATATGCTGCAGAGCAGGTTCGAAAGAAACTTTCTTGAAAATGGGAACCTTATCTATAAAGGATAGGGCTTATCCACGCGAAATAAAAACAAACAATATGAATGTTAAAAATGCCGCCATACTGCCGCTACAGTGTTGCTATGGGAATGTTGTCATTCCCATTCCTTTTCGCGCGTAAATTTTCGCACGCATTTCAGCATGCGTACTCATTTTGCCGCTGTGTCACCAAAAACCGCTTGTGTGCCCCTGTCTCGCTTTCCCTCAAGAGAGTCGCTAGGCTAGAGAAACTGGGAAATACGTCGGAAAACAACAATGGATTGAGTATTTGAAACAACCTCTCTTGAGACAACCTTTCTTGTCATTTTTCCCTCTGAAACTTAGATGGAAGCGTCAAATTCTTCAAACTGTTGTGTGTTGTTTGAAAGGAAGTGATCTTCATAAAGCAAAAGATTATACAAACGACTTCGAACCTTGTCTTTTAATAATAATAATTATAGTACTAATAATAAGATCGACTTTAATCAGGATTTCCACAAGATGGCTCTTCATCTGCAAATTACATCTGCCTAAAAATATCTGCTAAAATCAGTTCAAATAAGTTATTTCTACCAAAAAGGAATTACATCTGCTAAGAAATAAAGTTAAAAATATAGGAGAGGTAAAATAAGTATACCTATTTAGCAATGTAAAGTAAAAACTACATCAAGCTGAAAGGTTATCTTTGACCTTTTACATCAAATGCTTAAAAGTCATTTTAGAGAACTGATTAAAGTCACACAGTTCCCTACACATTCAGGTAAAATATTAAAGCTCTTAGCAACATGATCTTGAAAAATGTGTGATACCACTAATGGGTGATTAAGACAGAATTTCTCCTTACAATATCAATACTATATCACACACACAAGTGATGGGAATAAAGGAAATACTAATTATGGGATTATAAGTTGATCTAATACTAAATTCTCCAAACTAACATCACAGGAACTGTATGGCAAACAGTAAGGAGAGTTAGTAATGAGATCTTGGGAGTAAAAGGGTTAATAATAATTAAAATCCTTATGTATTTGTGAAGGTTCCACAAAGGTGATCATGCACTGATAAAAAGCAGAAATGGTACACATTCCAGGTATGTCTGGAGCTTATGTTCCTAATGTTAATGTTATTGTGGCCTTAACTTGTTTAACTTGATCTTTTCGTCATAATTTTGGTCCAACTATTTCACTTTCACATGCCCTTCCTGAACTATAAGGTCATAAAATCGTAACATAACCTTAAAATTTGTATTACAGATTTACTACTAGCACTATTGGTTGCTCTTTTTCTAGTAAAATGTTAGGGAGAAGTCTATCTGATAACTGATGTGAAGGCAAAATGGCTCTTACAGGCGCTTGTCGTTCAGAATATATACAGAACACCATTATGGAGTTTCTACCTGTTTTAACCTTTTCCCCTGCAATGGGAATTCAAGTTCTCCTTTAAAATTTTAGCCTTTGACATCCTTTCAAAATTGTTATTAGCTCTCTTAGGATGAAGAAAATTTCCTGGAGCCACACAATTTACTTAGACACAAAATTTGTAATATATATATTATTACACATGATATCTTGACATCCTTTTGTGTAGTGTTGCACAGTTATCAAAGAATATATGATCTGGTTGCCTTGCAAATAGTAAGTTGTGTCTGCTGGAGAAGATTGTGATTCATTGGAAATGTTGCTCTTAGTTGATAAAAAATGTAGGTCCTTTTAAACATTTTGGAGTAAGTTTCATGACTTATAAAGCTTTGAATGAGATGTTTCAACACTTTACATGCATAACTAATCAAGAAATTTTCCTTCTCAGTTTACAGGAAGAAGTGATGTGTAAGATGTGTGGGTAACAAATTATGATGTAGGGATGCTAATGGCATGGGTCGCTCAGCTTTTAAATTGACTTAAATGGTGTGAAGGTCACATTCAATTTCCAAAACTTAGAGAACTGTCACAACAAAAAAATTCTAAAACAATTTATTTGCAATGATGGATTTTCTTGGAACAATGGGACAAACAAAATATGACAAGCATTTAAATGAAACAATTCATCAACACATCAGTGCAGGGATGTCTTACCAGGCAATGTAAATAAATATTACACAGGTTAGAGAAAAATTTAAGTTGATTGATCTTGAAAAATTTTGATGAAATGGAATTGACAGGAGAGAGGAAAAAAGAAAACAAGGAAATGAGATATCTCGAAAGTGTCTGTAATGTCACATTGCCATTAAAATAGTGTTCAAAATACAAACACTAGTGTTGCCGGTTGATAATGTTAATCTTGTGGGCAGTTAAGAAATGTGATTAAATCAGCAACCATATTTGCAGTTCTAAAATAATTTGGCTGATACTGTAAATATACATTGCAGACAATTTGAAGAAATTTGGTTGGACAAAAAAAATCTATGGTACAAACTTGTCTCTGAGTTTTCTAACCAGCTGTCAATATACCCAATGATGTTAGACATGGAAGCAGCTACATGCAAGAAAGGTTCTCTCTATTTTGCTTAGCTTTTGACTCTTTTTTGCACCCACTTTTGATGAAATTCTTCAATTTGCAAATTCCTAAACCCTTCAGCCCTAGAATCAATTTGGTGACCCTTAGTCTACCCAATCCTCTGCAATGTTCCATTCAACAGTTTGAAATATTAATTTGTTGATGACACGAAATACATGTGGTTCCACACTTCAAAAAGAAATGAAAGAATGTTGCCATTTGTAACAGGAAGAGATCATACAAATTAATTTAAAATAAAACCCACAACGTCTCATTAATGTGCCCTTTGATTCTTTCACAATAAAATTGTTGAATTCATAGATTTGTTTAGATCTCTGTGTGTATGTACCTTTAACTACCATAATTTATTTCTAACAATTTTGTTTCACAAATTGTTCACACCAGACCAGTCTTTCTCAGGAAATGGACAATAGCATTTCCAAGACAGATCACAGATATCATGGTTCCGTTGTCACTTGTATCACTTGAGTCTGATTCAACATAATATGTTGTTCTCTGATGGTTGGGATTAACAAATAGATCATCATCATCATCATCATCTTCTTCATCATCATCCTCATCATCCTCACTAATGCCATTAATATTCTGTTCACAGACATTGCTAAAAACATAACACAAGAAAATTGTTATGCATGATCTGCAATAAAAATGGTTACTAATCAAAGTAGAATGTGATAGCTTATGGCTAGCTTGACATGACAATCTTGTCTCATCTGAAATGTTATTGAGAGATCCTTCATGATTGTATGTGAACTGCAGGTTTATTTTCACAATATTACATACCATAACAAGTTTAATTTAAGGTAAAGAGGAGTGTTATGTTTATGTAAAGTCTACCACACAGGTTTACTGCTTTTTGCATTCACTAATTGACTGGTTTGGAAGTGATTAGCAAGCACTATTCACCTCTGAACAGCAGAAGAGACAACATTGCATTTCAAGAGTTAAATTCCCAACAAGATTTTGGTACATCAACAGAAATAAACGAATTTTTTTGTTTCCCTGTGGTATATACTAATTTCAAACAATTATTAAACTCTTTGTCAGTAAAACTAAGCCCTTATTCTCTCCTGATTATTGACAATTGATCACAGAAAAACTGGCCAGTCTAGATTTGTAACATCCATTGAAAAAACAAGTCTTGACTCAAAGTTCTCAAAACATTATTCACCACCATCCGCAACTTAACCCTGACCAAGACAGAATTTCTCCTTACTATATTTACACTATATCATGAAGACAAGTGATGAGAATGAAGAAAAATATCAATTATGGGATTATTAATTAATCCAATAACAAATTCTCCAGACTAACATGATGAGAATCATTTGGCAGACAGTAAAGAGAATTAATAATGAGATCTTGGGAGTTAAAAGGTTAAAAGTCCTCTCCAGAACTACCTTCACTTCTATAATTACTATGATATGTCTTGTAAGTGTTGACTATTTACTGTATTATGAATCCTGTTAAAACTGAGGGGAAATTGTTAAAAGACAAACAACATTCCAACTTCATGCTTTTGTCTTTGTACTACAAACAGTCAGAAACCAAACCCAACAAAAAAATTATACCTTGAGAATATATATTATTCTTTATAAAAACACTTTGGACTAAAGGTACAGAGCCATAAATTATATTAAAGGCATTAAAAAATTTATACCTGTTTACTTGTTTGTCATCTGATTTTTCATCAGTTGAAGCTTTGTCTGCAAATGCTGAAGGCCTTGAAGTTTAAGTCAAATGAAAACAAGTTGAATTTACCCTATAACTCTTAGAAGTGATTAAAATGTAATGTCCCTTCCATTACATCCAAACATTATCCTGCAAAAAGGTTATGAGATCACACTCAAACTTATCAAGTAGAAGTTGTTTTCTTGATCAAACACAAAATTCTTGTAGAGAATCCACAAAAAATGTGTAGCAGCTAAAAGGGAGAGTTAACAATCAGATCTTGGCAATTAAGGGTTAAAGTTTAATTCTGCTCACAAGATTATCCTTCTAAAGCTTAAAAGGCTATGCACCAATGCTAAATAGCATTGTTAGCCCTATCAATTGCAGGTGACCTAAAAGAATTTTCCCTTCCAATATCAATGATGAAAAGAATCAGCAAATAACAACAATAACAACAGCACAATAACAACAAGATAATTCTTGGTTTAAAACCACATTCTTGAAGCCAGAATTAACAAAAGAATTACAGACAGCGAGAAGAATCTATTTATTAATGTCCTTAGTGAAAAGTGTGAATCCCACATAATCATGAAATAACTTAACAAAACTAAAAACAAATATCTTACCACAGTCCTTCATTTTTCAGATATTTGATTTGTTTGCTGTACAGAATATGAACAATCTCAGCACACACTTTGTTTCCCTCTTCTATGGGGTCCACAATAACAAAATCTCCTAGAGTAGGAAATATTGAGAACATATTTATTTTTTAAAAGTTGCTATGAGTAAGGCATAAGACAGCATTCCTCCCTTCATTGACAATGCAACTTCATTTTTTGTACCTATTAAATGTACTTTTACATAACATTAATCAAACAACAATGAAAAAGGAAAATTGGGCAGGATAATATAACAGCCTAAATTGAAAATGAGAATACATTCCTCTCTGTTGTCTTAACAGTTTTGTCTGGGATAGTTGCTCGAAATAAGCAATTAAAATCATCATCATTATTTTCTTTCAGGGGTTTTAAACACAGGTTAAAAACAACTGTTCTTAAGCCTCCATCCATACCTCTTTTAATCCATACACTCTTTCTGAATTTTGATGGCATACTGACAAGAAATTTTGTGCCATCAGAAGTTTCCACTTCATGAAGGTTGTTTCCACGTCCACCTAATATCTTTCTCAGGGAAAGAAATATTGATTTATAAGTTTTACTTGTAGCAATTTTCATTTTCAGAAGTACATCTACTGGGCATCTCCATAGTATAAACAATTCAACAGAGCAGTAAAATCTAGCTCAGGAAGTTATAAAGAATAAATTGTTGGAACAAGATAGAAATATATTTTCCCTTGTCTTGCGCTCTGTACTGGCCATGTGAAATGGAAGAGATTTGCTCCTTTCACAGAAGATATACTTTGCTCATCCAACTGAGACCCCCAGAACAGAGTAACCTCATCCTAACTCCCCTCCCACCAGACCCATCTACTTTCCCATAAGAGAGGAGGGAAGGGCATGTAAGCTTTTTTTAACCCCTTCTCCTCCCTATCAAAAAACAATTGCCTTAAAACATGCTATTGGAACGTTCCATTTCTTTCTACTCTGTTATTAAAGACCACCTTCCAACAGCCATATTTCTTTCCTCTGAACCTTTGAAGTTTGCACCTAGAGGATTCCAAATTTGTTTAATCTTCATTACTCAAATCTTGACTGGTTCTGAGCCAAATAAAAAGGTGCCTTTTCAAAGACTGGGGAGGAAATGGGGGGAGGGGGGGGAGTACATATAAAATATGGAATGTCCAAAATTTTACACCCTTCCACCCTTACTGAGTGCAAAATTTCTTTAACTTAGGTCTGACATTTCTTCTCTGGCTGTTCCACAGAATTAAATCAGTGAGATATCACGGAGATGTTTCTTAGCCACCACCTAACTTAAATCTTATTACATTTGCAATAAGCTATGCCTTAAATTTTTATTTAAATTTTGTTCTCTCTACGGAGCAAAGGGGGTAACAACATGTTTACTTTATAAAGATGGTAAACTTACTCGCCCCATTTGTTCTCCTACCTTAACAATCTGTTGATTTGGGTCTGGAACAACGTAATCGTCCAGCACTTCTTTCGCAACGTGCTTTCTCTTCGTCGCCTGCGACATGATTTAACAAAACTGAGTGCGACAAAGCGTGCTTACGATGCGCTACTCGCGTCAAAAATGGGCTTCTATGCCCACTACTCAATTCTTCTGCATAATCAAAGAGACATGGTCATCATTTTCTATCCTGCAACGAGTAAATCTGAAATATTCTTTAAAAAATATTCAGTGCACATGCATCCACGTTTGGAAGCCATTTTGTTACCTCTAGTTCCCATGACTCTCTCGGTCACGTGTAGAACTCCGACCGTCTTCTCGTTACCCAACACAGTACGAAAACCCAACGAAGACATACACAGCTGCAGGAGCCCATGACATGACAGCTGATATTGCCAAGCCATGACCCCATTGACCAGTCATTCTTTATCACCGGAGATTTTCGGGAGGATTACATGGTTTGTCAAGGGGAATAGAGGGCTCCCAGCGGGGCTCCCAGCGGGGGATCTAGTCTTTGACACCAATAAATAAAAGGGGTAAGTTTCTAAAGAAACTGTGGTGCTGCGTCGGTGTGAGAGTATAACAGGGTAATTTAGTGTTATCAACTGAGTTTAAAACGTAAATTGACCACCGTAAAGAGTTTAAAGGCTGCCGTTTCGAGCGTTAGCCCTTCGCCAATGGCTCTGACTAAGGGCTAAGGCTCGAAACGTCAGCCTTTAAACTCTTTACGGTAACCAATTTACTTAACTGATAACACTGAATTACCTGAATTAGACACAGGCCAGGTGGTTCTATTTCAGTTACATGGTGAGATCTGGGTATGAGACTAGGGGAAAGCAGGTAGATTTTTTTCGTGTAACAGCCAAATTACTCTAAGCCCTCCCCCCCCCCCCACACACACACACACCCACCCCCTCTCCTTCCTCCAAGGGATAAATAAAACCGATTCCTGAAGAAAAAAAGCTGATTGAAAACCAAATGAGGTTCACCATCCCATGGACGACGAAAGATGACTAATTTGGGTCCAGGGATTGCGTCCAATGACGGTGACCGCGAATGATGTCTAATGACGCTAGACGACTTCCAATAACGGCGACTGATGCCTGGTTACGGCGAACGATAAGTAGTGAATGTGAATTTTTTCCTAATAGCATGTAATGGAGTCTAATGATGGAAAGTAACGCCTATGAATATATCACTTTGTTTCAGGAGAAAATACCGAGAAAAGTTAGCATGGTAACCAAAATTCTCGGTCCCATGATTCGATCGCAGGCGTTTTTTGCCTTAATTGGCGATTAATATCCAGATGGCCAAGGAAAAGGGGAAGGATATAACCCACATTGACAGTGGGTGTTCGAAGAATAACACGAAGGTGCGACTTTCACAGTCGACATCGTGTGAACATAATGGAGGGAACACTATGGTGTCATGGTAACGGGACTCCTTTGTAGGTTGGGGAGCGATTCTCCTGATTGATATTCAAATTGAAACCAGGTAAGGAACTTTTAACATCCCACCAAATTTCCAAAAGCTAACGGTTCCAAAGTAACGTAAGACCTGACTCTAGATTTTTCGCCTTGTGGCTAGTTTCATTCTCCATTGTACTGGAATCGAACTTAAAACATTGTTCGATATACCAGGACATATCAGGGTTTTTTTGTGATGAAGTATTAGCTTTGTTGCGATTTCAATATCCTTTTGCTAGATATTCTAACGGATACGCGGAAATTAAAAAAATGAAAGCCAAATTTTTAGCAAGCATTCTTCTCTCTTGTCAAGGAAGAATAAGAATACTGATCATTTTTTGACAGGAGTGATTCTCGACTTAATTCGTTGCATTCGACGATAATTTTCGCTACACTTTGGACACTGACACCTATAATTTTGGCTTTCTTTCTCAGACGCAAAGAGAGCAAAAAATTAGCATAATTGCCCACCAGTTTCACACCTTTGAAAAGTTGCTCTCCTTAAAAGTGTCTCTATCCAATTACAAGAGGCAGATCAGCAATTAACAATATTCTCAAAATTGCAGAGAAGCGATTTGCTAATGAGATTCAAATGCTAATCAAAGCAGAACCATGGGATTGACCCTTACCCCGGTTTCAGTTTTCAATGAGTCTCTTTTCAAGCTTCGTTTCCGGAAGCAAGAATCAACTTCACTTCATTAGCTTCCAGTTCGATCCCACGGCGGACGAGAGCCAAACATTCAAGGCGATTGAACACCTGAGCAAAAGATAAGTCTACAGCTGATGATACGAACATTTTGCAAGCAAGCCATTTGACGCTGCAAATATACTTCGTATTTCACTTTAAAGAGAGTGATACGACACAATTGCAATCAAAATTAGCAGATTCACTTCGAATGATATTTCTTTTATGGCAGCTTCAATTTCTACGAATACGTCAAGTGAAGAACAAGCTGAAACTGCGTCAGTAGGTTCCTACAGTGTCCTCCTTGCTTCATGTGTGGAGATCTTGTTATGTTTGTTCGGAACTGTCGGCAACTCCCTCACTATCGCTGTGATCTGTAAGAGCAAATCACTTCAGGTTGTTTCGAACTTCCTCCTGGCATCCCTCGCCTTTGCCGATCTGTTAGTAAGCGCTGTTCTCGTACCCATGCGAGCATCACAACATATGGCCATGTATCGCGGAACAACAGTGCCTACGATGGTGATCGAAATCGCTGGGTTTATTGGTCGTGTGAATATTATTGCATCAATATCTAGCCTGGCTGCGATGAGTATCGACCGATACGTCGCCTTGTCGCACCCGATATTTTATCTGTCATCGGTGAAGTTTGCAAAGGGACAAGTTTCTTTAGCGATTGCATTGATCTGGATAGTGGCGTTAATTGTAACGTTTCTTCCTAAATTTCCAGGCGTTAGTGACAAACCGTTCCTCGCGTTCTTCGTTGGGTTTGTGCTTCTAGTCACCTTAATCATCGCGGTAACCTACTATAAGATTTTCAAGATTGCTAGCAAGGCGATCAGAGAACGTCGCACTAACAGTCGTTTCGCGAGTAAAGTTGTACGTCTTTCGTTCGTTGCGGCCCTTGAACCCAAACTCTGTCACTACGTCGATAAACAACAGACAGACAGGGATGCCCGTGTTCAGAAAGGAGAGCGCAAAGCTGCAGGTACGATCGCTTTTGTGATTGGAGCGTTCATAATTTTGGTGTACCCTCGCATAATTCTGATCCTCTACCACTTTGCCACTCCTGAGACGACTAAGAGCAAAGAAGCTCGTTTTTGGATTCGCATTTTATTGTACAGTAACTCTGTAGTGAATCCTCCTTTATACGCGTGGAGACACAACGAATTTAAGAGAAAATTTAAGAAGTTTTTTCTCAAGTGCTGGCGATGTTGTCTCTGTCAAAAGTTGAAAGTATTGAGAAAATCCTCTTCAAACAAGACGTTTTCAACGCATTCTCTCCCACGAAACGAGGCACATGCTGGAAGTGACGAAAACGAACAGAACACATATTCAGTGGAAGAGGTGAATCACAAATTGTAGAAGATTCCATGGAAGCTGTATCAATGGTCACCAAAATTTTTCACACGTTTTTTTGTTTTTAGGATAATAGCAACTTTAACACCCTCGTCACACGGAGTGAATCAACCATTATTAATTTTCCGGCTGTGTAAACAAGAATTCAATTCGTTATGTTTGTATGTCTCGCCTTCTGGATACTCGGCTTTGTCATGTGTATTTATTTTGAAGAAAACTGCGTCATTAAGTTTAACAACTCGTCTCTAAAGGAAATACAAGCGCACGATAAACAACTTGGAAATTCACTGTCGACCACATTAACGTTTTTCAGAACTAAGTGGCTCGGTCTTCACAAACTTGGTTCTTTTCTAAAATTCCATGTACATTGCTCTTTTTTTTTTGCAAATTTTCTCATTGAATGACCTGAAATTAAAATTCAAGACCATTTAGTAGTTCTCTTTTTCTCGGGCAGATGTGATCGTGTTATATCCCTAGTAATTTCAAGAATGGAACTTGCTAGAAAGGAAGTTTGGAGGGAAGCTGGGGAGAAAAAAGAAAAGAGGTGCGCGGAAAGATAAATCTTTACATAACGATGCACAGCAACGCGAGAAAATCCGGACTGTAGTTTGTTACGCCAAAAAATTATCAAAAATGCCACCAAAAGAAAGGCCTTTGTACTTTTAGGACGAGTAGGCTGCAATTACGGCGCGCCTTATTCCTTGCGACATATTTAGAATGTCTTGAGGAGTAGTCTGGAGTAGAGAATACTCTAGAGTTTTAATTAGTAGGGTATTGATGAAAATTTTGGCCGGTTTTTTGGCTTTGGGTTAATTTGTTTTACGTCTCGAATAAAAATTTGATATTTTTATGTTTATTTACTGCGTCAAAAGACAGATTCCAGTCACGTGGTTAAACTCCTATTAACCTAGCATGCTCTGAACCGTATTGCAAAAATGTCTGAAATGACCGGGCTTCGGGCTGATATCCTCGCAGAACGGTCCTTTCATACAGTTTTATAACATAGATTTCCTACTTTACACTGGCAAAGGCGATCGTGGTGACAAGCAAAGAAACAAAAATACCACATTAATTTTATTAAATAACCAAGTTCCATCTGGAGTTGTGAACTTCAAATCAGTGAGACGACTCGTCTCATTCTGACATCCTCTTTAGGAGCATCACTATGCATCAAACTTCATATACTTATCATTTTGGAACAGAGGTGTGCATTTCTTGACAACCTCATACCCAAGTTCTCTTTCCTACATGGGGAATAGTTGAATTCCTTATATGGGTAATAACCTGTGGCTTGTTCACAAAACTATTTGATGAACAATCTGGATTAATGTCAGTATGTGAGCAACAGCCCACCTACCCCTCCCCTAGCCCAACAAAACTGATAACAATTTAGGGTTAATTTTGGGTGAGGGGAGGGGTGGGGTGCAGTTGCTCAGATATTGACATTATAATCCAACAATTTCAAGCTAAAACTGGGATACTGTACTTATGGTAGAGAAATTCTTCTATGTACATCAAATTTGTTTCATCTCCTTTGCAACTTCCTCGATAGCCCATTCCTGGCAATTAGTCAGTAAAAAGGATGAGTGGTAAATGCAGGTTGATGCAAAACAATGAGACAAAAAAAAGGGGATTGACAAAAGCTGAGATTATTCCTTCCTACTTTTGCCTTCCTTTTCACCTTGCATGAGTACTATTATTGCATCTTACACTAACTGAACACCTGCAAAAGCATGATTCTGATAAAAACCAAGATTTCCTCTTTTGGTAGTTTCTTTTGCAATGTACTTCAGATGATCCAAAGATATATTTCCCATTTTGCACAAGATATTTCCCAAACAACTGCATGACTAGTCACTAAGGTTTCAGTGATGGGTGTGTGTTATGTATCTGCATCTCTACCAGGAACAACCTCAATGCCCATGCCCCTGGCTGAAGCAATGACAGATCTACATACACTTCTCAATGGCACATTCTTCATTGACGAGTCCTCTTTCTTGATTTTGGCAATTTCATAAATGTGCTTGAGGGTTACTGTGCCCACAACTTCATGGCCTACAAGGAGATATTTAATGTAATACATTCAAAAGGTCCTTTAAATTATTTTTTGTACCTCTTTGGTGTGTCAAATTCTCCACACACCTTTCTCTTTACAAAAACTATGGCACTGACAAGAAGAATTTGTTTGGGAGCTTTGTAAATTTGGTGATCATTTCCTATAATCTCATAACCTTTACATTTGATCCAGGGATGATATTGCAAGGAGAAGTCAGAAGCCAGTCACCCTCAGGGGTTAAAGGGTTAAAGGCACTATTCTCCTTTGATAGAAATGAGTAAGACTTGGGTTAGGAAGTTTATTTGAAGGAGGTGTAACTTTATACACAACTTGAATGAATGGGTTACACATCCCTCAAATCAACATTATCTTTATCCATTTATGATAACACTGAGGTGAAATAGCATTGATCTCTCTCCAAAATCGTTTTTTTTGGATGTCAAAACAACTTTTCATAAAACATTTCTTCATAGTGAGTTGCCATGTCTGCCCAGTAGCGATTCCAGCAATCTTTGCACAAACACAAGGATCTGATCACTAGCAACACATTCATTGCACTAACAGATTGCAACAAGTATTATAACCCAACCTACAGATGTTTTAAATATTCAGAGCTGCTTGCAGTGCAAGTGTCTCAAGAGTTGCAAGCTTGTGATTGTTTACTGAGCTGTCATGTTTGAATTAACCCTTTAACTCCCAGATAACATTTGTAACTCTCCTAACTGTCAACCATACAATTGTTATCATGTAAGTTCAGAGAATTTGGTATTGGATCAACTAATTATTCCCAAATTGACATTTCTCTTTATTCTCATCACTTATTTGGTTGATATTGTATTGATACTGTCAGGAGAAATTCTGTCTTGGTCACTCATGGGAGTTCAAGGGTAAAGGTTAGATCACAGTTGTTGGATTTTCTTTCTCCATCAAAATTTCTTTCTCTTCCCTTCCAGACCAATTTTTTCAGCACTAAGCTAACAATTAAGAGAATGATCTCCATGGGTTAACTGTAATTGAAGATATTGCAAAAAGAAGGAAGGGCCTGAAAAAAAATTGGGCTTTGACATGATTCAAACCCATGCAAAAACCAAAAATATTTCTGCATTACACTGCTCCACAGGCTACATGAACAGATGAGGAAAGTAATTAAATTTGAGTCTTACCTGGTTTTTGAGCCCCTTTCTCAACTCCTGCAGCTGCTTTTAGAAAATGTGAGACTGGAGGTGAAGTCATTTCAAAGCTAAATGAGCGATCACCCTACAAGACAAAACACATGATCATAAACTTTTTCTTGAGGTTGATAGCTTTTCAATATTGGTTACTTATGTGAGAATATCAATGTATTGTGTCCTCTGGTTCACAAACCAATGGTCCACTGATCAATCATTCCATCGACCAACTAATCATAACAGCAACCAATCAATCGATAAGTCAGCTTAGTTCTGAATTTTCAATAAATAAGTCAAATAAAAAATAAATACATCATATCTGCAGCATTGTAGTTTAACATAAAAACCTCCACTACAGCACAGCCATTTTGCCATATCAGAACATGCAAAATATGTATTTATTTACAACTTAAAATTGATATATTTATAGTGCACCTAGTATGTGAAAAGAGTGCTTGAAGTGTTTGACACTTAAATAAAGTTTCTTAATCCTTTGACCACTATGAGGGGCCAAGCATCTGATTTTTCCTTTCAATATCACTACTGAATCAAACATTAAGGTGATGAGAATAAAGGAAATGATAACAAATTAAAGAAGCTCTCGATTGTTAAACAAATTCTCCTTGTCAGCACCTAGGAAAATATATTTAGAACAGAATGTAGAATGTGCATACTGATCTATAAAGAGTTAAAAGGTGTATAAAGAAATGTGCCTTTGCAGTGTGCCTAGGCCTTGTGTTGACCCTCAGATAAAGAAAAAAACTAACAAGCAACACAAAAGAAACGTCAAAATAATGGCATTGCACATTCTTGAAGTGAAGTTCAAAGGGAAAATCCTTCATCAAGGATTTTTGTCCATTCAATTAGACAGTCTGTTACAGATTTTAGCAACACGTCTTGTTATAAAAGCCAGCAATTGCTCCCAGCGAGAGGAACTGACACAAGTTGATTATACTCAATATTTACCTTGTAAGAGATGATCGTAGGAATTGGAATTCCAGTAATAATGTGCTTAGTTCTTTCGTTAAACTCTTTGCAAAACTGCGCTATGTTCACTCCTCGCTGTTCATCCAAAACAGAAACGAAACTCAGCTTAACAGGAATCCAGCAAAAATCAATCAAAATATCACAAGGCTATTTTACCTGTCCAAGTGAAGGGCCTAGCGGGGGAGAAGGAGATGCTTTACCTGCGGCAATATATGTTCGCAGAACCCCGCTTAACTGTTTGGTCGCCATCTTGAATGTGGATGGAGACAGTCCCAAGTTACCTTGCGCGTTATAACCTCTGTGATATCTTTAGGTCATACTTCCCTTTTTCAATTTTTTTTCCCTCAAATTTGTTTTTGATTTTTTGATAATTGTTTTTGAAGCCTTCCTAAAAACAGGAAGTCTATGTGCGTTCGCTTGCTTAGCTTGAATCAAGTTGGAAGGGTAGTTTTAAACTAGATACGAGTAGAAACAATTTCTTTTTTTTGGTCCCAATTGTTGTCTTAAAAGAGATACAATTGATTGCGTTTGTATAGAAACACAACTCGTGACTTCTAACAAGGGGTTTTTCCCTTTTCAGTTTCGCTGTAATGGAGCGTCATGTTTCTAAATATTCTTGAACAAACATCAAATAATGGAAGCGGATTAAGTGATCTTAAAGGTTCTAAACTTATCTCCCGGAAGATTATATTAATGCTGGAGTCGTTTACCAGAATTTTCACTTCCTTCACGGTTCGAAAGCTTAATCTTTCGGTTTCATGAGGAAACATTTCTGAACTCGAAATCTGCCAAGTCATGTTCTTCTCTACAGGAGAAATTAATTTTTCATCAACGCCTTTTTTCAAAAAAGAGCGAGAAATTCTCCTGATGTAATCCCCATCGGGGTTTCCCCTCAAATTCTGTAGATATTTCCAACCGAGACAAACGTTAGTTCCGTTCGATTCGTGACCTCGTCCAGACTGAAACAAGAGCAAACTCCAGCGACCAGAAATGTCGTTTCAGTATGATGAAATTGCAAAGGAAAAAATATCTGCTTTAGGCGCTAAACTCGGGATTATTGGAAACCAAGCTGACGGTTCACAATTGAGGAATAATTCCCTTGTATTACCGGTAGCTGGCGAAACTGTCTCAAAGATAGTACAAGAATGGCAACAAGAACTTCTCGCTCACCTCAAACCTGTGTCACCCGCGCCAAAAGTGAGCAAATCCAGCCTTCTTGATGCTAGAAAGCTTTTTGGGGACAACTTCAAAACAAAAGTGACGCTGCGGAAGTCTGGCCATCTCGGGGCTTACGAAGAAATATCTCTCCTTCAGTTCGATCCGAACTTTACTTCCTCTGAGGTTATCTGCCGTCATCCGTCCTGCTCAACTAAGAATTCAAAAGCAGCAAAAAGTGGCAACAAAAGGGATCTTTTCCTCTGTCCAATTCATCAGCAAGAGTTGAGGAACAGCATTTCTGACCTCTTTGCACAGGAGAAAATTAAACTCTCCATCAGTACCGAAAAGCCCGAACACGGTCGCTTTGCCGGATACACGTCACTTATCAGTCTGCTGGAGGGTGCCTATCATGATGCCAAGAAATTTCAGACGCTTAAAGGAAAATCTCCGTTGATCCAAGAAGCAATTCTTAATGTCAGAAACTTCTTGATCATAACCAACTGCTTGTTAAACCCCAATGGTGACAACCTGGAAATTGGTCTGCCACCTGTATTCCAAATATTGCGCCTCATCCTCCAAAATCCAAATGCAACCAATCAGTTGGGAGTTCACCTCATCTACATGCTCCGCGAGGTCATAGAGATGATTCTTTTCTCTTTTGGTGTGATCTATTGTTGGGTGACCCTTGCCCTTAGCAATCCTGGTGCTCAGATTGGGTTTGGAGTGGGTATGATCTTGGGGGCAGGTGCTTTCCTCCTGGGACCTTGGAGTGGGGCTGCTGGTGTGGCCATAGGAGGGTCTGCTGGGGGTCTAATTGGCAATGGTATTCACGGCTTAATTTCTGGTGGACAACGACACCAAGAGCTACAGCGATTCAGAGAGAGAAGGAGAGAAGCTGGAGGTGATATACAACGGAATGGTCAGCCAAACAACCAGTACCCAGTATACTATTTTGAAGGAGATGTAGCAGGTGGACTAGATCTGCTTCTAGCAGAGCTTTGAACCACAAAGATAGTTCATTAAACCCATTGAACCCTGAGTCCTGTCTTGAAATTCTCCCTTTTGCATGTAATAGATTTTCTTGTAAAATTAATTTTAAAGAGGATTTAGTGCTAAATCAAAATAGCCTCTTCAAGTTGATAATTGTGTCAATTCTTATCACATATTTGCTTAATAATGTATTCACATTGTGGGGAGAAGTTTCAAATTCATCATCAAAGAGTTATTGCAAGTATGCACAAACATCACTAATAGCAAGGTGGTGCCTGTTTTAGTGTGAATTAAGTTTAAAAAAAATAACTGAAGAATTCAAATAGCAAGAACCAACTGTATGGTCCATTTTAGGAAGTGTTAATTGTTATAGAGAGTAGTTGTGAATGGGGAGTTTCTGGAAATTTCTAGAAAGCTTAGTCATGCTATGTGGATTTATCTAGAACATTCTACTGAGTGATGCAATCATTACGTAATGTTACAAGAATAGTTACTTTAAAGGTTTCAAGAACCTTTAATATTAATGCCTTATTAATGTATATAAGCAGTTGGTGACCTAATTAAGTTAGTGGATGTTGTTGGCCAAGGCTGACTGCTTGAAAAAGCTAACTAGAGTTGTTGTAGTCTACTGCCTAATTTTTCTGACAGTCTGGAGTTTCAGAGGAAGGCAATTTCCACTGTGTATCAGCAGTAGCTGAAATTAAGTGTATAGTGGATTATGTAGGTTAGGAGTTGCTCCCTTGTAATAGTTACCTCAAAAGTATAGTTAGATAAATTCATTGGTTTCATAAGATAATTGTTTAACTTAAGGTATTTTTCCTGTTGGCTAAATTATAGCATTACATGTCAGTATCATACAGGTGCGTGTAAAAAAAATTGAGAGAACTGTATTGTTTGTGAACACTACATTAGATGTAGGTATGAACAGAATTAAAAGTGCTTTGTTATTGCTTTTGAGGAATTTGTATAACCATGAAATCATCAGCATCAACAACATTTCCTGGTAGAAATGCCTCCTCAGCTTGCATAAGAAGTTTTTTTACAGTTGCAGTGTCATCAGTGCCACTTCCTTCAATGTCACTAATTCTCTTGTATCTTTGGCTAAAATGTGTGAGAACCAGTTTTTTGGCTTTGATTTTCCTTGCAAACTGTCCAGCCATTTCTGTTGGGAAAAAAACACAGAAAGAGAACCTTAACTATTCCATTCTGTGTGTGGAGAGTTTGTCATCAGTGAGCTCATTAGTATCAAATTACTGCTAAAGCTGTGTAATATGGTATTATCAACTGAGTTGATAACATAAATTGGCCACCATAAAGAGTTTCAAAGCTGACATTTCAAGCTTTAGCCCTTTGTCTTATGATCTGACAATGGGCTAATGCTTGAAATACCAGCTTTAAAACTCTCTACAGTGGCCAAATTACATTATCAATGCAGTTGATAATGCCAAATTACCCTATTGTACTCTCCCACTGACGTGGCACCACAGTTTCTTTAGAAACCAACCCCTTTTACTACTGCTAAAGCTGTTGGACAAATACCATGCAATGTGATGCTAATTTGCTTTTTCATTTAGTCAACATAGCCTTTCTTTCACCAGGATATGAAAATAGATGAGTTTGTTACATGTGGGCTCATCTGTATAAATTACAGGTCTTGGATAAATTACTCCATGTAATACGATGCTAATTCCCTTTTTCAAATTTGTTTTTAACATTTTTAACTTTTTTCTTTTCCCTTCACTCCACTCTAGTTAACAGGGTGTGGCATTGGAGAACATAACAGACTTTTTTGCTTCCTGCACAAGCAAATCTTATTTCAGGGGAAACCTTTTCTAGGAGAGGTGCTTTTAGAGCATACATATAATTGCTGTCAGAAGTAGCTACCTGGAGTTGAATGACCATGATCTATGCACTGAGCCATCAATTCATTCTCAAGAGTAGCTTCATGAACAACAACATCTGCATCAGAAGCAATGTCTACAATCCTTGAAGAGTCACATGTATCTCCAAGGATAACAGCTTTACGACCAGGGCGTGGTGACCCTAGTACATCTGTAGGCTTGATTAGACTACCATCAGGAGCTGTTATTGTTTGACCATTCTTGATTTTTGCATAAAGAGGACCTGGGGGAATACCTTTACTTTTTAAAATATTAGGGTCCAGTTTTCCAGGAAGCTGTTTCTCTTGAATCACATAACCAAAACATGTAACACGATGTTTAAGTGGCGCTGCAAACACAGTTAAATTTCCTTCTTGGCAAACTTCCCATACACCTTTATCATTGGCAAGAATCATTCCCCCATGAGTCTCATTTGGGTGTAAACTGTCTGATGCAGATGATGAGTGTGCCTGTTCCTCATTAGTTCCTGGAAGAGAAGGACCATCACAAAATATAGTGTACATTGTTCAGTTCAGCAAATAAAAAATTACACTTAAATTACTCAGTTTTGTTTTTCTATGTTTTGAATTTTTATTGACCCCTGGTGACATTTAATTCTTGCACTGATTGGCTTTAATAAGAAAACTTGGGTCTTGTTTTGTGATACTCAAATTAAAATGTGCACCAGAGCCTTTTCTGGCAAAACTAATTGCATCATACAAGAGAGAATGTAGAAAACATTTACACATCCACCTGATGCAAAAGACTGCAGCTCGGTGACAGAGTAGCAATAACCAAGCAATGATTGTGACAATTCCAGAGACAATCTAACAAACTTCCTCAGGCCAACGGGTCCATAGATTTCAATGGGCTGCTTATTTTCAGCACAGTTCAATCCTAATGTGCAAAGAAGGCCAGGTAAACCAAAGAGGTGATCTCCGTGAAGATGAGTGATAAAAATCTTATTGACTCTTCCCGGTTTTAGAGTACTTTTCATGAGTTGAATCTGGGTCCCTTCCCCACAATCAAACATCCAACAGCCTGTCTCGTGCCGTAAAACAATGCACGAGGCTCCTCTGTTAGGAGACGGATAACATGACCCTGTGCCAAGAAAGTGAAGTTCCATAATCCAACAATATTTTTCTAATAAGTTGTCTATAAAGAGTATAATTTCGAAGGTCAGAGTCAGGATGACATTTTCCGCCAGGCGGCAAGATGATGTGGTATCCAATCTCTCACGGTGAAATACCCATAATCCTTTCCGCAAACGTCGCCAGGTCGCATTCAATCCAAAATGGACGACATACCTACATTCGAGGAAATAAAAAAGTTTAAAGTTGTCGAGCTTAAGGCTCGTTTGTCATCGCTTGGACTGCATACTTCAGGTAAAGTGGAAGATAATCCATTTAAATTTGTTATTTTTTAATCTTATGTGACTTTTGAGGCTTTTAGTGAGCGTAATCGGTCTGCATCTTTCCCAGCCAGATGGAATGTTTGATCGCTATCCACGTGCATTTCTAGAGCTAAAATACGATTTGATGGTTTCTTCTTCCTATGATTTGAATTTTAGGCTTGAAAGCTGAACTAGTCGCAAGGCTCCAGAGTTATTTTGAGTCGGTAAGCTTGAACATGCAACTAGCTATTCATAATAGTTTACTTATCCACGTACTAAATGTATGCAATTAGTTTTTAGCTTGAGCTCATGTTAGTAGAAAGTGTCATCTTCATCTACATTTACATCCACATTTATTAAGTTGGTAAAATCTGTACAGACATCTCACCAACTATTATTATGCAAAGATATAAATTATATACAATACTCGGATAAAATTTTCCTCTTCATCTTCACGTAAAACCGAGCTTGAAGACGTAGATTTTATTTGTCGTGTTCTAGAATATCTGAAAATAAAAAGTTTGCTGTGAAGGACCTAAATTCACGAAGTACATTACCCCTAAAATATTGCAAGAAATGTTCTTGTGAGATTTTAGATGTCACACAATCTGGTCATTTTGTACCAAAATCTGTTTGTTCCCAGTTGATCTGATGGTCTGAGCATTTGTTCAGTGCAGTTGTAATGGCAAGCAATTTGGTGTAATAAGCACTTGAAAATTTTTTGAAGACTACAAATTGTACTCCCCCTACGGACTTGTCCAATTTTGTTGTCTTTGAAAAATTTACTCATGCTTGTTAACACCATATTTCACATGAAATAATGTTGTTACCCATCAAATAGTTTTGATTGTATTTTCTTTGTTTTCAGCTGCCACCTCCCCAAGCACCTCCAGCTGAAGAAAGCAGTGATCATGAAGGTCTGTTTTGGATTGGTAACTTTTGAAAAGTATCATCAGTGTTAAAAATTTGTTCAGTCTAAACTCATGCTTTTGTTGTATTTATAGCTGAGCCTGAAATTTCCACCCAAGAAGTGATTCCCCCTGAACATACAGTTACTCACAGTGAAGAAAAAGATATCAAACATGTAATAATACCAATTACAGATAGTGACCAGGGGATGTATCCGTCTGATTCTGAACACTATCCTGTAATCATAAAGACAGAGGATGATCGCATACCAGGATCAGATGTTCCTTTAGAGGAGAAAATTTCCTTTGAACCCAAGGCTGTTGAAGATGATCATCTACCAGCCCAACAAGAACATCAAAGTCAAAACATGCTTGAAACGGAAGAAGAAGCATTAGAACAACAGAGTATCCCAGAAAGGGATCTTGAAGGGAACAATCAGGATCAGGAAAATTCACATTCCCTGGATGAAATCACAAATAAAAGCTTGCTTGAACCAGAGATTATTCATGAACAAATTCAAGGTGACCAAATGCGAGAAGAAGAGGAAATGCCAATTGAGCAAATTCAAGAAGAAACTGCAGACATTCCTGTACCTGACCAGAATCAAATTGCATCAGAAAACGCTGCACTTTCAAGAGGATTTGTGCAAGAATCTGCTCAAGGCAATGCCCAAGAGCAACATGCTGAGTTATATACACCAGAGGAGCAAAATATTCCACAATCACATCCCAATACTGATGGGCTCCAGCAAGAATCTTACGAAGATAATACTTTCATGACTTCAGATTCTCATGAACCATGGGTGATGGTAGATTATCCCCTTGCAGAGGAACATGACAGTATTGTTAATCATGATGATAATGAACCTCCACAGACTCAGCAAGACATGGAGCATAATAGCTTTGAACCAGAAACTGCCGAAGAAGAAAATGAATATCAGGATTATGTTGATGATCAGAGGATTGATACTGAGGACATTGAAGATGAACAACCAGAACAACGTACAGAGGTATGTATTGCTTTTTTGCACCAAAGAAAGCATAGTTAAATTGAGTTGAAAATCCATAATATTTTAAGTTGGCAAGCACCTATACTAGAGCATGTACAGCTGTAAAACACATACACACACAAACACAAGAAAAAACAATGATAAAACATAAAACTTCAAGTACCTGGTAAGTTACGTACTATATGTCTAAAGTTAAGGTATATTCAGGGTGTGAAATTGTGCCTTATACAGATGCCAATGCAACTAAATTTTTCACTTTAGCAACCAAATCCTTAAAAGCAGTTGCCAAATTGGTGACTAGAATGCTTCGTCATAACCATACCTAGAGATATAGTGAATTAACAAGATTTGCAAAGATAAATCTGCGGCAAACTTCCTTGTTAAGTTTTTCCAAAACGTGGCAAATGTATCTTGATCGATAACTAGACACCATCTTGGATTTAGGTGAGCTTGAATGTTGTATATCATCCATTCTAGTATCTTCTTTGTAGAACTCTGTAGAACTTAATTTTGGAGGGTCTATCTAGATCACTTACAGCTTAAAAAAAAGGTTTTGTTTGTCTTTAAAAATGGCGACCAACTTTTTTTGAATTGGCTACCACTTTGAAAAATTTAGGAGCCAAGTGGCTATTAGAAAAAAAATTAATTTCACACCCTGATATTAAGGTGGGTGCTGACACTTAAGAAGCATTCTGTTTACATGTACCTAAGCACTGCTTTCTTATTCCATTTCTTAGAGCAAAGATAAGAAAAAGAGGAAAAAGAAGAAGAAGAAAAAGAAGAAGGTTGAGGTGTGTACAAAAATTTTATTGGCTGTAAAGCTACAAAGTGTTTAAGCCATAAATGGCACTGTGTGTGTCATGTAAACTTGAAAAAGATACCACTAGACTTATCTCTGTCAGTTGTTTCTTGTTTGTGCTGCCTAAACCCTTTAACTCCCATGAGTGACCAAGTCAGAATTTCTCCTTACAATATCAGTACAATATCAAGCAGACAAGTGACAAGAAAAAAGAAAAATATCAATTAGGCGATTATTAGTTGATCCAGTACTAAATTCTCCAAACTAATATCAAAAGAACTGTGTGGTAGACAGTTAGGAGAATTACTAATGAGATTGCAGGAGTGAAAGGGTTTATTAAAAACAACCTCAAAATCAACAAGCCCAGAATGAAGTTGTAGTTAGAACAATTTAGAGTTTATACGTGAGGCATACCATAGTGTCTTGTTTAAAAGATGAAAAAAAGATAAAAGAAAGATATGGACATCATCACCACTGCATCACTTCCAGCTCATTCTGAGCTAAAAAGCCTTGTCTTAAAAGTTTTCAGTATGAGTCTCAAATTTTCTGTTTGTTGAGCTGATTCCACTCATTTTACTGTGTATAGTTTGTCCAGGAGGTGCAACGTGGCACAGAGGAAGAAAAAGAAAATGTTGAGATTGAGTATGTCACTGAATCCATCAGTCCACTGGACCCAAACTACAGAGCATTTGCCAAGATTTTTGAGGCTTTCAAGGTATCTCTTTGTGTTAATCTGTTAAATACAGTATATGAAAATTGATCAGGAGATTTAATACAATAAGTTATTTTACCCGTAATATCAATTTTCAAGCTAGAAAGGAGAGGAAGGAAGGAAATAAATGAATGAAAGAGGGTATTGTCTGATTTATCACTGCATTTTTTGGACCAAAGTATACAAAGAAGTGATATTAAGATCTTTGGAGTGAAGTAGGTAAAAATATGCTTCTTTTTTTTCCATGAAAATAGTTTCACAAGGCTCTAAAAAATCAGTTAATCACACATCTATAACCAGGAAGCATGCAAGGAAATTCTACTGACCCTGGTTTATCTTCAATTTTTTTTTGCTCAGTTAAGTCACACAATCTAATTTGTTTTTACCTTTTTTTAAGTTATCAGATCCTGCTAAAAGTGATGCAGCAGAGAAAAAGACTGATGAAAAGGAAGAAGCAGTAAGTAAAATTTTTGGTCTCAAAATATCTGAAAAAAGGTTGTATACTTATGTCTATGGAATGGTTTTCTTTGTCTATTGCAGGTGGAGGCAAAGAAGAGTGAAGTGAAAGATCTCACTAAAGATGACGATGATGATGATGATGACGATGATGAAGATGTGGTGGTGAGGATAAGTTATGAATAATAACAACTAGAAGTGTTAATCTACCAGGAATTTTACTGCAAATGCTGCCATCCGATCGGCTGCATTACACACCATTTACTCTGTGATTCTGAGCAGTTTTAAGCCAAAAAACAAAAAAATGAAATTAAGGTGCTCTTTTGTTGTTAAGTTTTGAACTGCCAGTAGATTTATATGAAAGCCTCTGGATTTGCTCTTGATTTTTATACTTTCAAGCCCTTGTCAACTTTATGGAATTTAGATTTAAATTATAAATCTAATCATCAATTGATGAGATGTCCATCCTGAAAATATTACTAAAAAGCTTTGATTGATGTTTGTAGCAGGGGAGTAACCTCTCCATCATCAGTTTCTGTGATTAGAGGGCCTGATCTTCATCCATTTTGGTAGTTGACAGGGGGAGGTGTGGGAGAGCACCTTGACTATATTCCAATCAGAATCTCTCTTTACCATAGTTGAAGTAATATGCATACTGCAAAATTCTAACACATTGCCACTACATGTATATTAAACATGTTTTTGTTTGGTCTGTGGTTTTCACTGTATGGGATTTCCGTAGTATTTGTTTGATGTGTTTTTTTATAAGTGTTCAAAATACATACATATACTTTAAATACATTTGTTCTATAGTGAGGTTTTGTGTATTTTTGTTACTTTGCAGAAAAAACCTGAAGACGAACAGCCAAAGCTGTCTAAGAAAAAACTTCGAAAGATGAACAGATTAAGTG